TATATATATATATATATATATGTATTTTTAATATATGGATACTGTCGCAAATATGACATAGCCAAGCATTTGTTAATTAATTTTTAAAACACAATCGATATCCAATAAGAGAATCTGTTAGTGATTTCTGATGCGCGAAATAACAAAATAAAAATTTATTACATAATATCACGTGCGTTCCAAAACTCGGAAGAAAAGCGTCATATCTTTTTGTCCACGAGTCATAACGATCTGACCGTCGCCGCGTCGGCGTCGTCGGCCGGGCGGGCGCAAAAGCGGAGGGTTGCGGAAGATTGCAGAGGGTGTGAGACTGGAGACTGTCGACGACGGTTTTAACAGTGCTTGGTTTGACTCACGTAGCAGCATGACACGAGTTTTGCGGTCTCGGGAGTCGGGGATCTGACGAGCGGTGAGGAGTGACAAGCTGGAAAGCACGAGCCGCGAGCGGAGAGCGAGCGCGCGAGTGAGCGTATGATACATGCACGTACTCGTGCACGCGAGAGAGAGAGAGAGAGAGAGAGAGAGAGAGAGTGCGAGATTGTGAAGCGTGAGCTCGTGCTCTCGGTATAGTATACAGTGTACAGCCAGTACAGACTCTACAGACGCATCACCACACGACGGATCGCAGATCCTCGCTGACTGGCACGTTTTGTTGCGAGACCAAGACCCGCGACATATTCCTTTTCCCTTACCGAGTCGCCGAGTCACGGCCAGCGTGTCAAGTGTAACGCGGTAACGTACGCCGTTTGACGAGTTTAGCGTGTTCTTAGCGCGAGGAAGCGGCCGCCAATCGCTCGAGATGGCTGGTGCGATGCTGTTCGAACGGGCCCAGGCTGTTTCGGTGACGAACCGCAGCGAGGGTATCTCGCTGCTCAACGAGATCGTCTCGGACCCGAGTATCGGCGTCGCCGACGATGACGAGGACAATATCCGCGTCAAGGAGCAGGGTATCCTGCACCTGGGCGAGCTCTACAAGAAGGAGGGCAAGGCGAAAGAACTGGCCGAGCTGATCAAAGCCACCAGACCGTTCCTCAGTCTTATTAGTAAAGCAAAGGCCGCCAAGCTCGTGCGGTCCTTGGTCGACTTCTTCCTGGATCTGGAGGCTGGTATTGGTATCGAGGTAATTGTTTTTTTTTCCTCGAGGATTTGTTTTTTATATCCGATGAAGAGTTGGACTATATATATAGTTGGTATAGAAGTTAGGTTATGCTATGACATATCCGACCGATGAAAAAGTCAATTGGCTACTCGATACAATGTACTCTTTATTTAAACAAATATATCGAGCTTAATCACGACGATGCAAAATTGAGTTAGTTTACATCTAAATTTACATGATACAGTTTTGATACGTATTCTTGATTTGTCTCCATTACAAATAAAAAAATAATCTCGAATAATATAACAGTTCCTTTTGGTTTTTATAACAGAAGCTAGCTTTTTATAGATAACACAGTTAAAGCTCTATAATTGTTAATGAAAAAAATAAAACGTGAAGAATATAATAATACTGCACACATACATGATAAATCTAGGCTCTAATACATTTGTAAAAACTTGTAAATAAATTTGTATAAAGGATAGATCGTGGAAATGTAAACGTTAAATGTATTATATGTATTCAGGTGCAATTGTGTAAAGAATGCATAGAATGGGCGAAGGAAGAACGCAGAACGTTTTTAAGGCAATCGTTAGAAGCCCGCTTAATAGCCCTTTACTTTGATACGGGCATGTTCAGCGAAGCGTTGCAATTGGGATCTGCTCTCCTCAAGGAACTCAAAAAACTGGATGACAAACAGCTATTAGTAGAGGTTCAATTGTTAGAGAGCAAGACATATCATGCATTGAGTAATTTAGCAAAAGCGAGAGCGGCACTTACCAGCGCCAGGACAACTGCCAACGCGATTTACTGTCCACCTAAGATGCAAGCGGCTCTGGATCTGCAATCGGGAATACTACACGCTGCGGACGAACGAGATTTCAAGACTGCTTACTCTTACTTTTACGAAGCTTTCGAAGGGTATATTGCGAGCGCAGTATTTGAAACCGCATAGTCCACTTTTGTCATTTTACAAAAGGTATAACTGTCGTCATTTCTTCTATTTTCAGGTATGACAGTGTTGAAAGTCCCAAGGCGTTGACAGCGCTCAAATACATGTTACTCTCTAAAATCATGTTGCGCACGCCGGAAGACGTTCAGGCTATCATGTCTGGCAAACTGGCGGTGAAATACGCGGGATTGGATCTAGACGCGATGCGGGCAGTAGCCGAAGCCAGTCATCGACGATCGCTCGCGGATTTTCAGAAGGCGGTTAAGCAATACCGACAGGAATTGGAAGACGATGTAATTGTACGCGCACATCTTGGCTCTCTCTATGACGCTATGCTGGAGCAAAATTTATGTCGTTTAGTCGAACCTTATTCACGAGTCCAGGTATTTATATTAATATATCGGAATTCTTACATTACTTTTGGCTATAAATTATTTGACTAATTGAGTTCTTCAAGATAAAAGATATAATACAGATGAAAAAGATAAAATATATATAGATAAAAAATCTATTGTATAAAGATGTAATTATGTATACATATAAATTTGTCATTTATCGAAAATTAAAGAATTTAGCGTTGGCTTTTTAAAATTTATTTGAATGAAAATCGTAATTGCCAAGATGTTCAACGATCAACGATCAAATCCGAGAATTTAATTATTTATATTAATTTATTAAAGGATTTGAAAATAAATCTTGAAAACGATAATATATTTCGCGAAATAATTCTTGTTCTCTTACTCACACTTACACTTTCTTTTTTAAGGTGAGTCATATTGCTTCGTGCATATCCCTGCCATTGGCACAAGTAGAAAAGAAACTATCCCAAATGATTTTGGACAAGAAGCTGCGAGGAGTTCTCGACCAAGGAGAAGGTGTTTTAATTGTTTTCGAAGATACACCACGCGATAAGACCTACGAAATCGCATTAGACACAATACACAGCATGGGGAAAGTCGTCGATACACTTTACCAGAAAGCCAAGAAACTCACCTAGCCTTATTTAATATGTATTTATACAAGAAAAAATCTATCGCAATTATAACCATTAATAATTAGTTACTCTCATTAAATACTGTCGATTAACTGTATTTTTTCTCGTAATTAACGTGAACGGCACACAAGTGTCGCGAACAAAAAGTGCTCATTTACCAATATGTTCGTATAGGATCGCTTTTATTGTAGGAATTGTTTAAAAAAAAATGATAAAACGAAATAATCCCATTTGCCTGAGATCTAATCAACAAGCCCTAATCCCGCGTTTTTGAAATTATTTTTCGTAAATAATCAAGGAAGAGAAGAAAAAATGTCATAATACCGAAAAGCATTAAATATAAAAAAAAAGTAAAAGAATTATTCACATTCACTTATTTACTTGTTTGCCCTGTGTGTAAGAAATCGATTATGCATTTTGTAAAAAGAACTCTTTCGCCCTGTGTGTAAGAAATCGATTATGCATTTTGTAAAAAGAACTCTTTCGCCCTGTGTGTAAGAAATCGATTATGCATTTTGTAAAAAGAACTCTATACCGATAATTTATTAAGTGTTTCAAGATAGAGGACATGTTGAGACACTAAAATTTCTTCTAAATTTTCGTATCGCAGTTTCGCGTAATTCGACATTCGAATCCAGAGATATAATTGATTGTCATAATCACAGAGACTTCAACAATAGATTAATTGTTGTTACCGTGCGAAACTTATCTCCACGCAATTCGATAAACTTTCGTCAAAGATTTACGATAATTGTCTCTCATTATTACTCTTCGTCTACACGAGACACATGAATTGTACTAGTACGATAATCAAGCAATAAGAAAAGCCGTTTTCTCGCTGCGACTTTTGTCACCGCAATCAAAACTGCTGAATCATTCTCTCGCAATCGATAAGCGAAAACTACGTGTTTTCGCGCGATTCACGTTTGAAAGATCGATCGTGTTTCCGCGATCATGCGCATGCATCGACGCGTCCAAAGGTGTCCTGCGATCCTTTATTTCCTGCCCCTATTTTCCCCTCCCTTCCACTCCCTCTCGAAAAGGTGAAATATATTTTTTGCCATGATTTTAAGACGCGCGAGAAAAGAAATACCGGTAGTCTAACTCTGTTAACGATCGTACCGTACATACATACGGAACGTTTTAACGCGGTGAGGTAGAGAGAGAGAGAGTTTCTCACTTGACGACGTGAGTAGCGAGGGAGCGCGACGGCAGCGCCTTCCTCCTTAGATCTTGCACGTTTTAACAAAGAGACACAAGTGTTTAGGTTTAGAAAGCTTTTTTCCTACGAAAAGTACGATGGAGGATGCCACGGTGGAAAAGGTAAAACATCTCTATTGTGTATCGCCGATCGTCGCGTTGTCAGCGTGAAAGAGCGCGGGAATGTGCGATCGGGGCCGTCGAAACGGCAGTAAGGACGTTTCGTTTAGGTTAAGCCGGTATTTATGCGAGCTCGAGTGACGGTTGCGTCGCGCGTCTCCTCGCGCGTCTTTCGCGTTCCTTCGCGCGACGCTCCCACGGGCTTTTTATCACTGAAATCGGCGGCACCGTGCGATCCGTCCGGACCGTCTCGACTTCACCTCGCCCCCCCCTTGTCCACGTCGCGTATTTTCGCGTACCGCGAGAATCGAGTTCCTGCGGGGGGGAAAAAAAAAACCTTTAGGAAACGTATGTACACACAGCTTTAACCTCTTCCCATCGACGCGAATGTTGGCTCATCGCTTCGCTCGCCTCCCATCGCTCATTTTTCGCGCGAGTAAGACCTAGATTGAATATCTTCGTCGTTGAATCTCGTCAAATCTCATCTCGTATAATTGTTTTATTAACGGTCGCTGTTTAATGAGTAGCATCATTATGAACCATCAATAATGGTGAAGGTCGCTTCTGACTCATACTGGCTGGTCGCGTTGGCACAAGTTCCAAACTTTTTCTCGCGAGCATTGTTATAACGGAGAAAAAAAGATGATGTTAATAATGTTAGTTTCAGTTGCTTACGTCTTTCCTAATTTTTTGCATAAATTTCTGTCATTTGTGTAAAGATTCTATATATATGGTAGAATACAGTATGACGTAACTTAAGTAAAAATTATGATCTATGTATCATAGTTCTAAGTATAACGTAACTACTTTGATATCGATAAAATACGTTACTTTTTCTTAGCACTCTCCTTGTCGAAGATTATTTCTAATTTTTTCAAGATACATAAAAGAAAGTAAAAAAAAATGAAACTGTAAATTGTATGTATGATAAATTTGTATGATAATAGTAATCAACTTGAGTCTATAAAAAATTTGATATTTATGTAGCTAATTTCTTCAAAATAATAAATTATGTTTTAACTTTACATTTGCTCAATTAAAATTAATTCAAAGACAGTAATATCCTATTGATATTAAGGAATAAATTTATCAGAATATTATGCAACATTATCAATTTAAAGTTTAGTATATTTTAACCTACATTCTGCAATTATTACAATTTATCTTTAGATATTTTTTAATATATAACTTATATATAAGTGTAAATAGCATAACAATATGTATTTTAATTTTTATATTTATAAATAATGTATACAAATTTTAAATTATTCTTATCTCTGGAGTACAAATGTACTGACCTAAAAAAGGAGCAAATTATTTATTGATTTTTTTCTTCAATATAAAAACTTATATTGGTTATTGTTACATACACTAGAAATTTATGCAAATGTGACATAAACAACTGAATAATTTGTCATAACCTCCTGAAATTGTAAGTCATATAAAATTATCCACAATATAAGTTGAAATTTATAGAAATTCTTGCTTAAAAGTTTCCAAATTTTCATCAGATATCTCTTCTGTATACTATTTAATTGCTGTTTATCAACTTCTGTGTAAATGTTTTCCACATTCTCTAGTAATCTAAATAATTCAAGAAATGAATCAAATAATGTGTTACACAGAAGTGATTACACAGAAAATGAGGTAGCTAACAGATATAATAAATTTTATTTGCACAGTCTAACACCATTAGTTGTTACCTGGAAAATGATACTATAGATACTTTCACTACAGATACACTTTTATATTACTTATTTGTATTTGTTACAACATTATATAAAAATCATAAAAGTATGAGATATAAATTAGGGTTATTCATTTGTTATTTATGCACAATTATTGTATCAAAGTGATGTATTTTTTGAATTTGTCTTACAGGTTCAGGAATATAAGGATTCTCTTATAACAAAGGTAACTTTTTCTCTCGTGATCAATAAATCTACAATTTTATATACATTAAACGAATATTAAACATACAATAAACAAACTTGATTACATACATATATATATAGATATGTCTAATGATACGATTACAATATATATTTATTGTTTGTTTATTTATGTTTATTTAGGCGGAAGATTTGTTGGTGAAAGGATTTCCGGAGAAAATAGTTAAATTAAATGAATTATTGGAGACGCCTGGATTTTGTAATCGAAAGCTGTCGGATGTACATCAAGACTTAAATGTACCCATTCCAGACCCTATAATTCTTAATCATTCCGAAGATGCTCCTGCTACGAAAAAGCTTAAATTGGACAATAATGGAGACGAGACCAGTGGAACCAAAGTTATGATACTTCCAGGTGGTTCTGTACCATGCAATAAAAAGTTGTGTGATTTGATCCACATAGTTAAACCCTACATTAGACAACTTTTGGAGGATTCTAATTTAGTGAGTATTACGTATGCTAAGATTTATATGTAAATTAGATCTATATTTTTGATAGTGATTACATTATACAAGTGGTGGTATATTGGTATTTACTTTCACTCCAGAAATTTTATTAATAAAAAGTTAAGATAGTTTTGTGTGAAATTTTCTTCTAACTTTATTATACTTGGAAAATTTTACTTTATCATTAATACCATAATCTTTTGAGCATTTTTATAATTTATTAAATGTAGTTTCCTAATGATTGTTTTTAACTTTTTAGTTAAAAATGTGGATTTCTTTTTTAATCCCAAAAATCGAGGATGGGAACAATTTTGGTGTATCCATTCAAGAAGATACATTATCCGAAATTCAATCAGTTGAGAGCGAAGCTGCTGCATTTTTCGATCAAATTTCTAGGTGATGTATAGAATAAACGACATACAGATGTCTACGTGTGTGGACAACTGCATTCAACATTTGTATACTAATGGTTAGGTTAATAAAGTCGAGAGAGAAGTCTTATTTCTCATACAATTCTTATTTCTACAGATATTTCATCTCTAGAGGAAAGATTGTCAGTAAAGTCGCGAAATACCCACACATCATCGATTATAGAAGAGCGATTCAAGAACTAGATGAAAAGGAATATGTAAGCTTATGGCTCGTCATGTGTGAGGGTCGCAATCGTTATTGTTCGCTCCACGATCTCGTGATCAAGAATCTGGAAAAGATCAAACGGCCACGTTCCTCCAACGCCCAATCCTTGTACTAGTAGGCATAGTTTTACGCGCTGTACCTACGCGTGCAGAGTAATTCAACATAAACTTAAATCGGAAAATATATAATAAGTAAAATAAAATTCATCTCCCCCTCATCCTATTGACACGACTCAATTGCCTTGACATTGATCCATCGTTCATTCTACCTATTATAATACCATAAATAAAACCAATAGCTACACTTAAACTCTACGAAATTGTATTATGTAGATTATACTTAACTTATTCGTACGTTTAAGTTTATGTAACTGGCTTCTTTTGTCCACTAATATATATGAAAAGTATTTTTCAGTTAGATTTTAAGAATAAAGGTCAAGGAAACTTTCAAATGTTTCAATAGGAACTTCACAATTCTTTTCGAATCATATTTTAATTATATAATCGACGTGTGAACTCTTAATATTTGAGCTATGCATTACACATATATAATTTCTTTGCATCGATTTGTCATAAAATTATACAGTATAGCGAACTTACATGTAATTTTGCCAATATATTATATAATTGGGGCACTTATTAAAGGAATATAACAAGTGGTCGAAGTGAATTTAGTATTTAGTCAAGTGAATATTGCATCATTTGTAATTTATATCTGTAAGAAGATTAGAAGATAAATCAAGCTATTAAATAATAGCTGAGTTTATAAATAGTACTCCCTTTTTGTAAATGTGTTTACGCTTTGTCGCGATAAATAGTAAATATAGGAAAAACACACGAGATTACATGGAATACAGCATTATCTGATACTCGAAATAAATTGTGTTCTAAGCTTGCAAAGTGCAAAAGTAAAAATTGAACTATCCTTTTTTCTGATATAGACAAAAAAATATTGTCAACTTTTTTTTAGCAGGATAATACACATTAAGGAATGGAAGAAGGTAAGAAGCATGATTCATTTCTATATAGTTTATATAAAAATTTATGTAATTAACGTTTGTCATTCACAATATAAAATTTAATATTCTACAGTTGAATGTCCTTATTGTGAAATTTTGCCTCAGTTTCAACTTTTGTTTCAATAACATTTGCAGAATGAAAAATGTCACGGTACATGTTAAATTTATTGTCTTTCGTTTAATTTTTAATTTCATGTGATAATGCAATGAAATGTAGCGAAGTAACGTAGGAAAAAATTTCACTTTAGACATTCATCTGATTAATAAGATAGACAAAATTAGAATACTGCTTTTCACTATAAATTGTTTATAAAATGGCACTGACAATTAAATGCATCAAAATACTTGTGATCAAATACGAAAATATCATATTCCCGCTTACGCAATAAAGCATCATACTTTTTTAAGTCACGATTCCATGAAAAGGCCGGGATTGAGATAACAATGTTTATTGAATCCCAATGACTGCATAGATGATGTCTGACACTCGTTGCGCATTGTTCTGAGTTGCTTCAATTCTGCATCAATCTGCAAATAATTGTAAATTATATTTTGTACTATTCTATTATATCTCATTACTTTATATATATTTAATACGTCTCATATAACTTTTACCAGGTTAAATAAATCTTGAATGTGATGTGTGTGAGCATAGTTCATAAATACTTTACAGAGAATCTGTATAAACCAGCTGCCTGTTACGGAATCTCGATAAGAAACGTGTCCAGGCAAAGTGGATTGAACTACAAGAATATCTGAATAATTTCTTGTTGTTTGAATAGGCGAAATCTCTAAATTGGGTTCATCCGTTGCTGGCTTCATTACACAGGTATCTGTAGTGATTCTACAATGAGCTACACCTTTTTGTTTTTTCTTCCCTCTAAAAAAATATGAAAAATATATATATATAAATATTATAAAAATAAGAAATATAGAGATCAAAGTTTTATAAAAAAAAAAACAACACTAATAATTTTCTCTTAATTTTGAGTTTAACAAAAAATAAAAAATAAGATGAAATGAAGCAAAATGTAGAAGTATAGAAAATTATAGTTTCGTACCTACAAAGTTGAAAAATAAATATCTTTGGTTTTTCCGCGAGTTGTGGGCAAGCTTCTGCGGTGAAGTAATCGCAGACTTCTGAGCATAGGACTTTCTCATAGTTTCCTTGCCTGCTTGCATTATGATAATCAGTACCCTGGATCTCTGTATTGTTTTCTTCGTCTCCTGTACCGTGACTTGTAATAATTACAAAGCACGAATCGACTTTTCTCAAATCGTCTCTTTTTGAAAATTCTTTAATTGTATCTTTCATTGCCTGATAAAAATGGAAAAAAGATAATTTGATATTATCAACCGCATGATTCTTAATTCAATATATTATAATAATAAATATATACGTGGCTTGTTCCAAAAGTAATGAAATTGATTGTATCCAATATCCAACGATCAGATATCCAATAGATTTCTATTTTAGGGTTCCTAGATAACAATAGCAAATTCGGTTGAACGCACTAGTGCGCACTCAGTGCATATTAAAACTGTTGTACACATATCAATGTAAAGATGCATGTTTAATATAAATACAGAAACAAGCGAAATTTAATCGCGAAATTCTTAATAGTATTCTTCATTGTATTATTTGGTAAAACATATAGAACATTTCATTATTCAAGATATTTCACTTTTATATTGAGATTAGAACAGTGTATGACATTAATACACACTATTGGATATCGGATGTCGAACGCAGCGTGAATTCTGCATAAGCGTCCAAACGAACGCAAGGATTGATAATGTATTTCTGTTCATTAGTTTTGAATAATTAATTAATATCCAATGCTGCCAACTTAAGTTTAAAAAAATCAGTCTTATCACTTTCGGGACAGACCATATATACATACATTTATAAATGCACATTATATAATATTAATATTATAATATATATTAATAATTAATTAATATATATTAATATATTAATTAATATATATTAATATATTAATTAATATATATTAATTATATAAATGATATATATTAATTATATAATATTATACAATATTAAAAATATATAAAAGACGTATATTTTGAATACTTGTGTACCTGTCCTGTTAGATTTCCATAGGTAACAACTATAAAACCCATTTCTTCAAACAATTTCTTCAAATTGATTTTGTCATTTTCTGCCGAAAATCTGGGTTTCTCATACGATAATTCATAATAAATATTCGTGATTATCAAAACCAATCCACGAGGTTTACTTCGCATGGGATATCGCTCAATCTTATCATATTCACAATCTAAGAATTTTGTAGCTTTGCGCACTTTGATCGTTAAAGGTTCATCAGACCAAATATGATGATCTAGTGGAGGATCTTTTTGCCTAAAATTTTAAGTATTGCTTGTATAATAAATTTAAATAAGATTTTACAGAAATATTTTAAAAAATTTTACGAATTGATGTTTCTAAATATTTCGAAAGATTTATTACAATATATGCAAAATAACAATAAACTTGCATCACTAAGCCTTGAATTAGCTTTGAGCTAAGAGGCTTTCTTTGTCAGCTAAGAGCTAACAAAGAAAAAGATAAATCATAATATACCTTGTATTATTATTTGTATTATTTCTTCCTTCCAATAAATTAGCTATGTTTTCGTGATCCGACTGTTTTAGGCTAATAATTAAATTTTTGAAGGCATTTGGTCCTCGTGTTCTTACTGTTAATAATATGTCTTTAACGGTATCTTGCGCCTCGATGTTTTTCTATAATCAGATATGTATTTGCATATAATATATATTTAGTTATATTTTTATTTATTATGTACATTGTCCAGCAAGGTCACAGTGTAATATAGTGAATAATTTCATCTTATTTAAGAGGCCTGTTCTTTATAGCTCAACGGGTTGTACTAGTTCAGAGTTTATCTTTCTTTTCCCAATGTAGAAAGAGAAAGATAAACTCTGAACTAGTGCAACCAATTCAGCTATAAAGAACAGGCCTAACATTGGCAAAAAACAAGGACATTAATGATTTACACTGTGATTCCTTGCTGGAAAAATGCACTATATAATTACATAGTACATTATACTTCAAAATAATTCCTTTTCTTCCTGCTATCCATCTTTTATTTTTACTATCTAAAATAAAAATAATTCATTCTTTATATTACATAATTTATATTATATAACTGTGCACAGTTATTTATGAGAAAAATGTATATTACTCTTAGATAAATTTTAACCAAAAAAATTACAAGAGGGAACACATTATGGTTAAGAATCAGAAACTAATGACAATGACTGTTGTTGACAAAAAAAATGTTACAGCTAAGTGCATAATATTTCACAAATTAAACTCACCATCCACCGTGGAATGTTTACGTCATCTCTGTTGTACACTTTGTTTTCTAATAATTTTGGCAAGAGCTTTGCCATATCAACTTTAGACGCGATGCCTTCGCAGCAGCGACTTATTTGTTCACGGTCCCTTCGATCCATCTTGAAGACGAGAAATACGATGAGATGTTCACTTCCAAGAACTTCTTAATATCTTATGTATTTACGTTCAGTATCCTACGTAAATCTGCGTAAATCCACTACGTAAAATCTTTTCGAATCTTTTCGACAAGAGCAAACAAAGATAGAATTGCGTCGAATTACATTTATCAATGATGTCATTGCGTAAACATGTCCGAAACTATATACATCTACATAGATAGAAGTCTTGAGAATACTCGAATGCGATTGGTCCGTTTGTTTATCGTTATATGATGCGTTCACAATAAAAGTCAACATATCTATATGCAGCAAACACTTATTAACAACAAATATATATTAGATTTTTTATAAATAAAATGTATTAAATTGTAATTATTAAGGCCCGGAGCACATGAAATGCGTAATTAAAGTCCTGAAATCCACAATAGATGTAGCAAGCCTTAAGCCGTAAGAAATGGACCAATCACAATCGAATGTAAAGAGAATAATTACGATTACGATTGGTACTATAATTACGTAGGAGAAACAAAAAAAGTTTTGAAAATTACATTTTTTTATTATCGCGGACTTCTGGCACCGACTCGTAATAAAGTTTATTGCTTGATATAAGTTTTTTTTTAATTCTGGAAAAGAATTTTCAAATCTATAATAGCAATAAACTATTGGTGAACAAATTTATTGCATTCAATAAAACAATCAATCGTTCCTTGGTAAATTTTTGTGATCTGGAGGTAATTGAAGAGCGTCGATATTATCGATTATTCATACAATTTATGATTGTTAACATATTTGAATAATGCCTATAATAATAAAATAATGTTATTATTCAATTACTTTAAAAATAAGTATACATACATTTCTAAAAAACGTTAGGCTAATCAATCATAAAATTAATATTATATTATAACACGGCAATTTTAAGATAGGAAAATTTAAATTATAACAGCTTTCATAAGAATGTCAGTCGAATCTTTAATAGTATATCTCGTCGATAGTTTATTTATACTTTTCGCGTATGAATATTTTTATAATGCCAGTGTAGAAGCATACTATCGATATTTTCCGAAGAATTCAATAAACTATAGTACATTTACGCAATTTATATTACGTATGCTACAGCTCTTTTAAGTAAAATTTTCCTTGAAAGCAATGCTTTTGAATTAGTCTAGAAAAAAATGAATAAAATATCAGGAAAACATAATTAGCTAAGAAATAATATTTATTCAAATTTTTACCATGTATGTATATGTGAGTTATAAATATTACGCTGATACAAAATATGCACGCATACATGCGCAACTACATACTTAAAATATTTTTAAAGAATATTTTTAGAAATGTTTATAATTATATAAAAATATTAAATAAAAATATATCAACTTATTGAACGTTTGTATAGTGTCACAAAATAATTTTCATAAATATTTACAATCGTAACGAAAAAAGTATTTTTTCCGGTCAAAAAATATTACACTTCCAGGAAATAGTACAAGTATCAAGTTGATATTTTGGAGATATTTGAAAGATATTTATCACAAAATTTCAACAAGAGAGGAAAGACACATTTCATCTTTTTCTTTTCACGAGCGAGTATAAATATATAAAAGTCTAAAAATATTTTTACGATATATGTATAATTTATTATTTTACACTGATTATTCTACATTTACTAATATTTACTACTTGAATGCAATAACTTTTTCGATGTGATTCTTAAGAGTCTCTAATTGATGCATTATCTCGGGATCAAGAGAGGGAATGTTTGACATACGCAATCCCTCTTGAGGCAGCAAGGACATTACATTGCCGTCACTCAGAGGTACATTAATATTGGCAGTTTTTTCCTCGACGACAGCAGAGACCAGCAGTGGACTGCCCTGCATGCTTAAGACCATTTCCCCTTGTCGTGGACGCCTCAGCACGTTCAACGGTGTGTTGGGCTTGACTTTTGGCGTGACCACACTGTATGCGTTGTCCAGGAGCCTCGGCATTCTGGCTGGTGTCTGAAAATCACTCTTCAGTAAAGATACATTCAGATGGTCCTCGCTCTTGCGCTTAGCCATTACCATTTTCTGATTAATCTCACTGAGCTTGGCTCTGCTCGCTCTAGTGAAACTGCGTGTCCTCACGGCCGACGTTGTATGCGCCTGTGCCCGAGCGATCCGCGACGTGCTGTCCATGCTGGTGCCTCCGGTTGCGTATCCGTCGTCAGACGCGGCATTAGCAGTACGTTTGGCAGTTTTGTTCACCTTCTTCGGTCTAGGGACGGCCAGGGGTGGTTGCATATGAAGATCCTTGACCGACGAGCTCACCTCATCGTTGCGATTCTCCTTCTGGCTGTCATTCTGGTTCCGCCAGTCCATCAGCTCGCTCAATTTCATTTGACGAATTCCCGCCGGCAAGCGGGAAAGTATAACCTCAATGCACGTCTCGAAGCCCTTCAGGTCCGCCTGTGCGTCGCGTTCCATCTTGGCGATACGGAGCTGCACGTGCTTCTCGAAGGCCTTCATCGCCGTGTCGCGCTCCTTCGAGTTGCTCGCCGCTCTGTTGCGCTTGGTCCTCGGCATCTTGTATAACGAGAGTGCACGTTGCGTGTGACAACTAAAATCTCTCGTACCGCTCCCGGCCGGTGTGTTGGCAAAACCGTTCTTCTTCTCTTCCCCACTTTCTTTCACGTGGAATCCCTTCTTCTTCTTCTTTTTCTCCTTTTGACGACAATTAATCCCTCGGGATTTGGCTCTCTTTACAAACGCTTACGAATATCAATCCGAACATTCCGGACGGCGGACAAGGAGAGAAACCGTTACTAAATTCAATTTGTTTACCAAATCTTCCCGCTTGGAAAGAAGGAAACAATCTTCAGCGCCATCGCTCGGCACCGCTCGTGACTCGCTCTCGAAAGTGGCGAGTTTAAAATAGAACTTCCGTCTTCCGTCTTAAGCCGCGAGATATGAACTTCAAATGTTTTTCGAGATTTTAAGAGATTTCCGATCAAGTTCAATTAGATCCACGATGAACCCTAATTATTCTTCGCAAATTCATACTTCGGATTACAAACGAGACGAACGACAAGAAATGCTGGTCGCCCCACCGTTAGACTTATCGTTTAAAAAGGCCACCACCATGGACGGTATATAAATTGAAAGAATGTTTAAATTCTAAAATTTTGCGAATTTACGATATACATCGATAATTTTTTTTATCGCAAACAGTCCGGCGGTTACAAATTATATTTAGTTTATAGCTTATCCTTGTTGCGCTATCCAACAAATGGGAAAAATATTAATTTTTCCTCTGACAGAATTGATGGAGAAACGTGCACAAGTGATACGCACTAGAAAGGCTCCGGTAAGAACGTTGAAGGATCGTTATATAACCAGTACGTTGTGGCTGAGCAATAATCTGTTGAGCTCGATGGAGGGTCTTCAACGTCTCGCGAAAAGAGTTCTCGACGATCCCGCGTATCTCAGCTGGCTGGATTTGTCTTTCAATGAGATAAACGAGATTGGAGAAGACATAGAGAAGTTCACAAACTTGAAAATTCTCTACCTGCACGGCAATAAAATCGCAAATATCGCGGATACTCTAAAACTCAGGAACTTACAGAATCTCAGATCGTTGACGTTACACGGTAACCCGATCGAAGATGTCCCCTGTTACAGGGGTTACATCGTACATCTTCTCCCACAGTTGCTCGTCTTAGACTTCTCGCCGGTGATTGCTGCTGAAAAGAAAAAGGCGTTGCCCGTAGGATTTTTTAAGATGATACAACCCGGGATACGAATATAAAACTTTATTTTTATATCGCTGGAATATAATTCTTTTGAGATATACATTTTCCCTAAATATTTTTATTTCCGTACCTCTTTTGTAACATTGTATCATGTTACTCGCGTTACTTGAGACGTGGTGGCTTTACGAAACACAATTGCATTTCAAATTAATTATTTTTCTAAGAACGATGCATATCTGATGAAATTTAATCTTATATTAAATAATAAGCAATTAAGATAAAAAAGGACATCTGTAATTTCTGTGGAATCATAAACACGATTACAGACATAAATGCTGCTTATGACATACTTCACGCTTATTAAACATTTTTTTATAGTCAGTTATTATAAAAATTACAAAAGTTTATATTACATACAGAATTAGGTATATCTTTGTTCTTTTTCAGACAAATTTTTATAAAGTCACACAAAACATGCTTTATACATTTAGTTTAGTATTTAAAAGAATTACACAATTATTGGCCTATATCATAATTTTTAATATAAATTATAAACAATGAAAAACAAAGTTTGCAAGAATGCAGTGTATAATTTATTACTGGTAGCTATGTGAAACCTATCAAGATAATCTCGAAAAATGAAGTATTAATTTTCCGAAAGGAATTGCGGTAAGCTTATAAAAGCTTTCGCGGTATGTTACAAATTGATTACAATTAATTAAATCGTGATATATCGCAATATAATGTAATAATTCTGGCTATACGTCAATATTTAGTGTAGCCGTCTACTACGCTTACTACGGTGTTTACTCGATTTCTCCAAATCCCTGTCCCGAGATCGACTTCGTGATCTGTAACTACGCGATCTTCGTGACGACTTATGGCTACCCGATCGTCTGCGCTGGGTCTTTTTGGGCTTACTAGATCTACCATGACTGTGACTTCGAGATCTACTTCTGCTATGCCTTTTTCGCTTACTGGAATACTTAGTTTCTTCGCCTCGTGATGGGGAAGTACTTGGAGATTTTGAGCGTCTGAAATACATCAAGAAATATTTGAGCATATATATACATGTTAATAAAGTTTTTCCTTGTTTGTAAGCTTCTATGTCATAGACTTCAATATAAAATTTTACGAATAATGATCACATTGTTGAAAATATAACGCATGTGAAATGCATGCTTTTATTTTAATCTGTGACTGCATGAAATAAGTATACTACTAAATACGAATCGATATAATTATCCTCATAATCTTGCATATCTTAAAAAACAATTATACAGTAATACAGTAATTTTATACATATGTAGCATGCGCGTCCTTCCATTTTTATTTGTTACTTTACATTCGTATGAAAACATTATCATACCTAGGTGACTTTGTTCTTTCGGGAGCCGCATGTGTGCCGCTGCGACTGATAAATCCACCCCAGGCGTTGTGATGTTTCGGCAACGGCGGACTCGGCGTATGCCCGTCGACATCTCCACCGCGTGCCTTAGTTCTAGCCTCTTCGTACTGACGCCGCAATTCCTCGACGCGTTTCTCCAGTTGCTCGGGTCGCACGCGCGGCCGTGAGTAAAGACGCAATATACGCCGACACACGTCTTTGATCGCCGATTCGCTGACTCTGAACAGCGAGAACCAAGCGGGCGACGTGGGTAGAGGCAGCTGCAATTGACGAGCGGCCAGATAAACGCACGCGCATGCCACTGTTTCCGGCTGATAACGTAAGAATACGTCGGAACGCAACGAGTCGTTCATGTAGTTCCAGCTCTGCTGCATCAGCGTGCGATTCTTCTCATATCCCAACACTTGTAAATACATTACTATGATCTTGTGAGGATGTTTCACGTGAACGCAGAAACCCAGTTCTTTCAATACCCTTCTCTCTGACTTAATCACCTGATTCTTTAAGGCTACATAATTCTGATCGAGAATCACGGGTTGTATCGCTCTGAAATAAATCACGAAAATAGATTCTTTTGATTCTTCCTATTTCTCGAGCATTTCATACTCTTAGAGTTAAACAAAAGTGATGAAGAGACTTACTTTTGACTGGACACTTGTTTTACGTGATTAAAAACGTTGATCACATCCCTGATGCGCCTAGGTGCTTCCTCGATTTTGCTCGCTAAGCAGATGCAACCCATTGCAGTTGTTTCCATATTGTGTCTAACTAAAGATTTGCTATAATAAAATCGTTGGAATATTACTTGTCCAGTAGCCATTGCAACCTACGCAAATAAACGAAAAAACCCAAAGGGACGATTAGATCACGCCATTCTGTAACATAATTTTTGATATATCAACAGTATTTAACCCTTTAGGGACACGAGCAGAGATATTTCCATTGCCACACTTCGATTTTGCTGTGCGACACATGTTCGATATATATCCAGCGTGCACGTCGTCATTCTCATTTGTTTACATTAGCCACTCTGGAAATCCAGACTCTGGAAATACATCATATAGCTTGAGCTGTTTTTGTCAGTTTTGTACTAAGTAAACAATATACAGTTTAAGTTCTGTCCACAAAGGGTTAAAGTAACAGCAATAGCAAATAGCTTTTCATATCAAAAATTAAACTAGGCAAAGTAATATAAATAAAAAAACAATATACTTTTAGATAAAATTGCTTCAATATTCAAACGTCTTATCACAAAAACAATATTCTATATAATAACAATATTCTAAATATCGGATTTCTTATAGAATTTAGCAAGATAATTCAAAAGCATCTTCTTTAATACCATCTACGTATAACGTTTCGATAATATCATAAGCTTTATAAAGCTTATCAAAAATGTTAACACGTATAAATTATAAACGTGAGTATATTTGCATTGTGCATTAATTACAAATTGAAAGAACGAAGTAATACAATATAATAATAGTACGTATGTACATTTGAATAGAATTAAACGCGCAAAATTGAAATAATGATTAATACAAAGACACGTAATTAAGAAAGTAGACCACAGTTTTGAGATTTTATCTCAATGAGACATCGAGGTTAGGAAGATTCAAATTAGGGCTGGGATTGTATTGGCGCGCGAAAACCCACCTGCGGTAACTTCAGCAGAATACCGGCAGTCTGTATAAGTTCGCATCCCAGTATCCGGAGATCCGTTTCGGTTTCCGCATCGAGACCATCCAAATGCGACGGGGTGGAGTTGAACTTCTCGTCGGGCAGGAGACAGTTTTGCAACGTCAACACGATCTTACCGTAGGGCTTGGCGTTCGGTGCGTTCGTGCTCTTCGTCGTCGACGCGGTAGAATTTTCCTTCGCGTTCATCTCGATTAATTCACAGAAAGAGAATCTTACAAATCGCAGTCGTATGATTCACGACGCGAATGTAACCTCTCTACCTATACACGAGACACCGCAACGCCGACTACGCTGAACGTTGAGCGGGTTGGCGGAAAAGATAAAAAGAAATGGTTGCCGTATACAGGATGACAACTTCGGAACGTAGCTGCGTTCAAAAAATCCAGCTGTGCGAGCCTTGAATAATATTCGTCTTGTGATTGGTAGTCTTCAAATCTGCCAATCAGATCCGTAATTCTAAATTTTAATTTTTATAAATATTAGTTTTCACGTTAAATGAACATTCGGCGAAAGTGTTTTTACAATTTTTAACCTTTAAAGCTAATTTGTTGAATTCATTCGACAGTAACCAATTACTATATTTATTTATTGTCAGGACGATAAGACCGTAAAACTCAGTATTATGAGCTTCCTCCGAATATATTTAATTCGTATACTGTAGAAATTTTATCATTGTTTAAATATTGCTAGAAAGGCTGATCGATCTCCAACAATTATCGTAATTATTACCGTGATTCGATAATGTACAAATTAATTTACCTCCAGATTTAACCGTTTGTAATAAAAAAAATTAATGAAATAAACGCATATAGATTTATGATATACATTTAAATGTTGCTTACAAAGATTTGAAATATAATAAAATATTTGAAAAGAAAATTTATTTAAAAAAAGATGCAACACAAAAATTGAACAATACATCATAAAATGTTTCTAATGTGGACTAACTGAATGCTCGTTATACAAACTTCCTTTGTACATTGCTTCCACTTTACATTTGTCAATATGTAAATTGAGAAATAACAAACACATTTTCATTTTGATCATTCGAATAAAAATTGAAGGAAAAATTTACAATAGGAACGTAATTCGGTTCTAATGAGCTCACACAATACAGATGTTTACTCATTATATATGTTTAAGTCTATATGAATACGATGTATTTTTTTTTTTATTATGATACACGGATCTTAATTCTCTTCGAAATTAATACTCAAACACAGAAAATACACTCAATTAACTTCCAATTTCAAAAGTAACAGGAATTTTCGAGGCAAGAACTTGTTCCGTTCTCTTGCTATAGTTGGTATTATAATAATTATAGCTATATACAATTATAAAATAATACAATAATTAATATAATACAAACGCATTACGTGCGATCGCATAACATATGCAACAATTATGATACAACATATTGATATTACGCATGTTACTAATACATAAAACGTAACATAAGAAATAAGGATGTTAACAATAGTTCTTGATTAAAAAATTCATTTTTCAAGAATATTGTTCAGATCTGTGTATATATGTGTGTGTGTATACATACATGTATATGTGTATTATTATATATAGACCTATATTCGCATCATAAATTGTTAATCTTTATATTCGATTTAGTGCGACATATGTTATATAATAAAATATAGATAGCTTTAGATGGATAAGATAAAAAAAGTTTGATACATTAAAATACAATTGTTAACTTGTTAACAATTCGCAATTCTATGAAAGATTCTCTGAAATATTCATTCTTCATAAATTTGCTTTATATACGGTATACAAGAATAATATAAAACGCATTGTCTACAAAATTGTAGTTGCATAAATATTTCTTGAATTTTGCAATAGCCATCTTTTGTTTTTTAATATTTTTAAATCTGTTTCTAGATTCATACCTATATTCTAACCAGAGTCTGATGATACTAACAATAAGTATAAAATGGAAGATCAAAAATGCTTGAAATTTTCAATTTCCTAGCACTTGATATGAACTAGTATGTTTTATTAGAAAAATTGGATGTGTGACGTACATCGTGTAGATGATTTTAAATTTCTATTAAAAAAAAAAGCGAAATATTGGATGCGAATACGGTTTGTTTCAATTTGTTTTCGCACTATTTTTGGCTTTTTGTTACCTTTCTAGATAGCTGTAAACAGTTATAATTGTTACTGTCACTTACAGTCAAATCTCCATATTCTTAACACTTTTTCCTATGTTGTTTCCTTATTTCATATTTGTTACCTGTATGCATATGTAATCAATAATCATACAATCATAGATAACCATAATAATCAGAAGAAAAAAGCGAGTAAAAAATTCGACAATTTTATTTTTTGCCATTAAATTAAAACTCGAGAAAAAATATTAAAAATAGGAAGTTTGGTCCCGACATGTTAAGAATATAGAGATGGGCTGTATGTATTATTAATTGAACAGTTATTGGACAAAATTGTTTTACTTCAATCAATCAATTTGGAATCAATTTTAGTAGTAAAATTTGAAAGTATTACCTAAAAATATATAAGATGTAGCTCATTTATGGGATAAGCTATTTCAATTAATCAATTGAAAGAAATGTTTTCTTTTTCTTTATATGCATTAGAATGCATATAAAGAAAATTCTCAAGTTAAAATAACTGATTCTTCCTTCTGGAATGTTACAAGCTTTCAGACTAGTAATGTGTGTAGTAATGTCTGTATAGATCACTTTATATAAATGTAGATTATTTCAATGAATGCATTCAGCGGACTCAACAGTTGAGTCTGCTGAATGTACCCATTGTGAGATTATTCTTCAAAAATTTGAAAAAATAAGATTCTCGATCTACTGCTCTTTACACTACATATTTCATGTATTCTATAATATATACGTGTATCATATAATGTAATGTTATTTTCTGTAAGATTCTTCTCTCACACTGCATGAATCGTAGTAATTGTGAATATTTCAGTTAAAAATAATTTTATGCATCCTTCGATTTATATGGCAGTGTCTCAGAGTTTATCTGTGCTCGGCGTATCATATATTTCGTATCGTATATTTTGCTCACCTCTGCTTCCCGTATATAAGACAATTAGATAAGATTCAATAAAACTTCCACTCTATAAATAATTAAGATCTTAAAAGAAACTGAAAATTCTCGTCAAAACTATAAAATCCTGTGTTGTCACGTAGATCTTACAATACCTGGACGTATAGTTTTTGAAATATTGTAAAACTCGTTACGATAGCCCGAAATTGCCTTGAAAAATCTTTCGAAAGATGTCATTACCGATTCTCATTATCGCTATTACCAATGGTTTTCTCAGTTTTCTGATCGATTTTCCCCGTCTTGGATCCTTCGGCGAATCCCCCGCTCTTTATCGTGGCATTCAAACTCTTGAGAAAGTTTCCCAGATGTTCGGCGGCTATGGGATTGTTTGCCCATTCATTTGAAGGAAAAACTGCTAGTAACTGTTTTTGCACAGAGGTCAACTGTTTCGCGATTTCACTTGCTTCTGATTTATTGGCGAACTTATTCTTGTCATCAGTAGTGGTCAAATCATCGACGGTACTGTTGTCTGGCTTTACAGCCGATTCTCGTGTCGAGGCCTTTACCGCGTCCGACGACGTCTGAGCATCGGTTGGTATTTCTTGATCCGTTGAATTCTTGCTCGTCACCGGATTTTCTACTGTGATCGAACTGGAGTCCGGACTATCCGGCGATTTGCTACATGTCACTTCGGAGCTGGTGCTCTTCGTCGTCTGACCAGACGTCGCGTTATTACTTTCGTTCGAATTGTTGCTGTTGATACCGGCATCGTCGTTGTTAGCGCTACCCACATTCCTCACATTCAGGCCACCATTGCCAGGAGGTGGTGATGGTGAAGCTGTTGATGATACAATATTAGGACTCGTTACCTCGCGATGCTGTTGCTCCTGCTGCTGTTGCATCGAATTATCAGTATTGATAATTTCTTTCCTAGACTCGGCATTCGAATCCGTAGTTGTCCCATTGGTGGCTTGATCATTATTCTTCGTGCATTCACTTCGCGACAAGAGCCTGTTATTTGTGTTTTCGACATTCAAAGAATACTTCTTCTGGGCGCGAGAAGTTTCATCCGTGGGCTTGAGAGCTTCATTGTTGTTACGAAAAGTTGGAGGCTTGCTTGGGTCGACCGAGATCGCCCGGTTGATGCTAATATTTGTGGATTTTTCGGCAAGTTGTTGCTTGTTGATGGGAACCGCTAAGGATGCCACGGAAGATCTTGCGGGCTTAATGGGTGCACACTGAGCGGCCAGATGACTCTTTCCCGGTACACCACTAATATTGGAATTAACATTATCACCGCTTCCAATCGCAGACGTTACTCCACTATCTGAAACGGGTCGCGACGGCAATCTCATCCGTATTGCATCTATTTGAAACTGCTGAAAATTCGGCGTATGATGGAGAGCGTAGAGACTCGGCAAGCTCGGGAAGACAGACGAGAGATCTGAGTTTGGTCGATTCATACTACCAAAAGACGGCGCATAGACAGGTGCACGCGACGACGATGGCGGTAGCGGGAAATCGTTGACGCGATGAGCGGCAGGTGTCAAAGAGCCTGGCGGCGCTCGGTAATACTTGTGACCGCTCATGAGCGTCACCACTTGGCCCTGGTTAAGAATGCCTCCCGGTTGCATATTATCTCTGCCTGCCATAACTTTATTAGTCTTGTTAAGTTTTGCCACCGGCTGTGGGATTCTCAGTGGATGCATGTCCATCTTTTTATTGCCCCCGCTCAAGTCCAGAATATCCCTGGTGGACGGTTCACGTTCTCTTTTCCGTTTGGCGGTATGCGTTGCCATACGTTGTTGACTCGACGCCTCTCCACGATTGGTCGTCGCCGTAGTCATCGTCTGCTTCGCCGCTGCCGCTGTTGTCGCCGTTACCGCTATTGCTGATTTAGCAGCCTTCGGCGGAGTAGTTGGCATTCTGATCTGTCCAGTCTTCAGAGCCTTCAGTACACGCGGATCGACCGAACAGTCGTTCAATGTGATGCTCGGATTTACTTTGCCCAACGCGACCTTTCGCGTATTATCGGTGGAATCGTTGGATTCGACAAACTGTCCGGAAGATGCCGGAGACTTGGGTGAAGTCAGTGTTATGCTCAAACTCGCCGGGATATTCAAGCCATAGCCATCCACTAACAAATCTCTAGTGTCATTTGTAAACAATGGACTAGTCGACGCTTTCGTGTTATTCACGTTGGATACGCGGCTCGATCCGGCGTCGTGATCTCCCACCATACTGATCGCTCTGCCTATAGGAACATGTTCTGTGGAAGGAGTACGCGATGGCTTGTTAGCAGAATTATACGGGGAAACGTTTTGCCTCTTGTTAGTCTCCTGTCTTTGCGCGAGCTGCGGTGCTTTTCGACGCTTCAGGTCGGCGATCGGTACCCCCGGTGGACATTTTCTCTTAACCGCTCCAGCTGGAACAATCGGCGGATCGCTGGAGAAGGTATACACGTCTGTCTTGGCGGCATGGTTTCCGCTCGCGATATTCATGCTGTTTGGACTCGTTCCTGAATTACAAGAGTGTCCATCCGCGTCATCGGTTTTATGCGTGTACGCTCGTGAGCTGGCAGGTACTCCAGCAACGCGTTTCGCCATCATATTTGTCGTGATAGCGCTACTATTTGCATTCGAGCCGGTGTTTTCAATGTTATTCTTTTTCTTGATTTCGTCAGTGGCTTTCTTAGAGGCCTCTTCCATCTTCGGTGTCGCATTACTCTTTTGAAAGGATTTAACGGTGCTCGCGAGACTAATGTCTCGAACGGGAGACTTTAATTTACTATCATTCGGCATCGCTGGTTCTCTAGCGGTCAACTGGAAACCTTGTAGGAACTGCTTCTTGTCCTGCTGCTCTGCTGGTTTCTTCAATGCGGTTTTCGGCATGGTAACGCTGGTAGTTGGAGAGGTAGTTTTCTCGGACGTCGGAGACCGATCCACAAACGTTACTTTACGGCGTTGCTTTTCCTGTTTATCCGGCGATATCGGATTAGTGATAAGTTTGTCTTTATCTTGTTCCTGCAATTGCTGGATCATTAACGCGCTCGACGGCTGCGACGTATCTTTCTCCACTTGGCCGCAACGCAATAAAACATTGCTGATGACTTTCGGTTTTTTCGCGTTATTACTCTGCGGCGGCGAACACTTCAGCGTTAGCTTTACACCATCGGTATTCACGACACTGAACTCGGGATTCGCAGGACTCTTGACTTCCGTTACGGCAGCGGCGGACGGACTTTTCTGCACCTCGTATTTTCCGTCTGGATTCTTCATTATCTTAATTGGACTCTTTATCTGCTTATTCGAATCGTTGCCCGTCATCGAGGAGGACGTATTCGTTCCTGGTAAAGCAGACGCACTCGTCGCTGTTGTGGTCAGCATACTCGTGGCGTTTGTTGTCGTTAATGTTGCGATCGACGGCGTTGCGGGCACAGTCGTCATTGTCACTTTGTTTGCTTCAGCTTTCTCGACTGTTAACGTCGTTTGCTTGTGATCCACGGATGAGATTATCTTGTCATTGGAAATCTTATTCAAATCTTTTGCTGGTACTGTCTCAACACTACTGTAGCTAGCAGATTTAGCCTCTAATTTAGAAGTTTCCAAATGATTAATGGAATTACTCCCTATGTTACTGTCGTTCAGCGCCTCATTCGGTGGCAAACAATCCCGAGCTCCGAGTCCCGGAGTCGATGGTCTTTGATGCAACGGTGCTTCGAGTCTTTGTTCCTCTTGCGCCACTCGATAGAAAAACCTCATTGGTGCAATCTGCGTGAAAGGCAATTTAAATAATAGTAAAATTCTCCCATAATATTATGAAGAATGTTAATTCTTTATAAGAAAATAGATTTACTAGAAATAAAAATAAAATAAATTTTATAGAAATATTTAATAGAAATAAAAATAGAATTTATAATAAAATATTCTAAGAAAATAATATAATTTATAATGCTTGATGTTCCATTTATCAAGTTTATCTATTAATTATTTCGCGAAATTAGAAAGATAGACGTTTGAATAAGAAATGAATGAAATGATACAAACCCTTTTCCACGCGTAAATATAAGCAACGTCCATGAGAGTCCAGTTTTCGGGAAGTGGCGCGCGTCGATGACAAATTTCGATAGTGTATCTCGTTACGTCAACGCTGTATTTCATCGCTATAAATTTCTTGAGATGTGCGACAGTCACCAGAGCCGGACATTGCAGATATCTTCTGTTGTTAGTAACATTACCGTTGTAATTACTGTCATTATCGCTAGTACTGTTCGTACTGTTTGAGTTGTTTGTATCCATGTCGTTGGTGCTCAATATAGTCAACGGATCTACTCCTGGCGATAAGTACTCCAAGCTCAAACTCACTACATCCTCTGGATTAAATATTAAACGTCCGCTTACATCCTCGCCACGTTGCTCCGGCGTTGTTGAGTTTGCTAATTGTTTGAAAATTAAGATTTTAATAAAATTTAATCTCTAAAATGTCGTTTATTAATATTAACGGATATTAGTAGTCTAAATACAATTTGAACTTGAAACAATTACCATGTTCAGGATGCTTCTTATAAAATTCTCTTCTCTTTGACATTTCCCTATGGTATAATCCGGGCACCAATTTATATACAATTTCTTGTAATGCCTTGTCAGCTCTGCAAAAAGATTGAGATTTCAAAAAATATCCAGAAATAATAATCTAATTGTCAATTATTACTACAAAATAAGTGACAATAAATTACATAAATCGTTGAATAAATTATCAAAAAAACTATCATCATACTTGATATTTGGCTTCGCCTTGTTGATCGCATGTTTGCACGATGGACAGTACGCTGCAGTGCTAAGATACTTCAAGATGCAGCTTCTACAAACTAAACGACAAAAATACAGTATATTAATTATCGATAAAGATTATTATTAATAAAGAAATCTAAGCTTAAATCTCGATTGTACTTACAAGAGTGTAAACACTCTACTACGGTTGTGGCGTCTATAAGATAGCCTCGGCATAGTGGACAGATTAGATGTGGATTGACATCACGTAAAAGTGTTCTTTTGCCGATACTAGCCATTTCTTCGTTGTGCAAATAAGTCACAAAATACGAAATCTGTAAAGAGAAACACAATCATTGTTAATTGCAGGCTTTAATATGGTGTTTAATTAGTTACAAATTATTTGGATGTTTTTGTACGTAACGATATGTTTTAATATTTAATTGTAAACTGTAACTCTTAATAATTTTTAACAAAACATCTTTGGACATGTTCACACAGCAGTTTTCTTCATTTAATTATCTTCTCTGATTTATTATTTATTTAATTTATCTTATCTATTATTTAATTTATAGAATTAGTAAAATTTTCGTTGTCACATTTCACGAACATATATATATTATATTCTATGTTGAAAAAAAATAATACATCGATAACGTCAATAAAAAATATAATTGCAGAATTCAAATTTTTTTACACTGAGAAAAAAAGGTGTTGGTGTAACTAAATGTGTTTTATTGACAATTTTTCTTTAATTCAATTATGTTTTTGAGTTAAACATACATTAACAACATTAATACATTTTAGCGAATTAACGAGTATTATTTGTTAAATTAACAAATAATTGTTTGATAACCCTAAACCCCATGTATAGTTAAATAAAAAAAAAATGTTTTTTAACTTTTTCTCTCAGTGTATATCTATAGCATAATTATACGTTAAGAAAAAAAACTCAAATATTAAATAAACACGAAACATACATAGGTCAATATTAAATTGAGAAATATCATCGATAAAGTGCAGCATTGTTATATCGCTTCTAACTGAAAACGATGAAAAACATAATCCCCCATTGCGATATATTTTCTCAGCGCTCTTCTTTCTCTCAAAATGCTCAAAATCTTTCCAACACAACTGTACTTGCAATTCAAATTTTGATACGGAAGTGCCAGCGATCCATCATTATGTCTAGCTAAATTTTCCAAAGGTGTTTCCCCTCAGGTAGCTACTATTCCCTGTATTACATGCCCGCTACCAATCTCTCCTCTTCTCCCTCTCGCAAACCCGCTCTAGCCGTCTGTATCGTGTATATGGGTTCCCTATTCTCGTCTCTGTTTAGAATCGTCCTTTCCATTTTTCCGCTCACCCGGCGGCGTGGTTAAACCGCCAAACGTCCCTTGCAACGTGGTGTACATGTGTGCACGCCCGTCGAATATACCTGACGGTATTGATCGAATATCGCGGTATTTTGCGACCCGACGATAAGCTCGACTCACCTAGTTATCGCATAACATTCGTTGGTTACGCGAAGAATTTCGAATTTTACAATTTTTCTTGCCCTTTCTTCTCTTTCAACGGTATATACAAGTTTGAAGTTGCATATTGCCGAATTGACTGTAACACACACAGGTCGTCGTAAACGCGAACACGTGTTTCGCCGAAGAGAATCAGATCGCATTTACAGTGAGACGCGTCTTTCTGTTGTAGTGTGGCGTCCATATGAGCTTCATCTTTTTCCCGTTTCCATTTTATGATGAAAAATAAAGTGCTGAACTAATCTAAAAGGAAATTTCTCGCAAAATCAAAATAAAAAGACGTGAGACTTTTTGTAAGATGCATTTGCATCGCGGATAATAGAGTACGATCGAAGCGTGCACATAATTTACGTATGGAACTAGAAGTAAAGGCTGCATGTGAATAGCATCCTGAGGAGAAGGCGTGAAAGAGATCTTCGGGACGTGGAATAAAACTCGCTCGACCATCGATTTATCTTTATACGACGTTTTATCCCTAAATCGTTAGTTACTCGAATTACTGCGCCCTCGAAGCGTATCTTACGTATATATTGCGCGCGCGGTGTCTAGTACTACGTCTATTTATATCGAATGGCTCCAAGAGAAGAGGAGCAAAATTCTCACCACGACAAATGAAACGCAAGAATGCGAAAATGCAGCACGGACTCCGAAACTGTGAGAAGATGCGTATATCTCAAATAATATCTCACAATCAGATATGAATAATATTTTATAATAGCTAATGCATTAGATAACGATGATAATAATAATAATAATATAGAGATCGTATTTTTACACGGAGAATTTTCTTTTAAAATTTACCCTGAAAATCATGTTAATCATGGGACAACATAGTATTTCAGCAAATTTTATGTAATTTTCTGTTTTTTTCACTGTGCACTACAATAAATTTGTTGTACATATTTAAAGTACATATGTAGTACATATGTAGTACATATTTAAAAAAAAACAGTAAAAATCACTCAAATTTGTTGAAATGCTATGTTGTCCTACAATTAACATGATTTTCAGGATAAATTTTAAAATAAAATTCTCTCCGTGTAGTTTTCATATTAATCTACAAGTGTTGTAAATATAATAAGAGATATGACATGCGATTATCTTTACAAATTAATTTTATAAATATTATAAAAACTGAAAAGCATATAGTTTAAGGATTGAAGAATGTTTCGCATCTTTTACTCATCATCTTATTCGTTGTAATCTTTTCGATATCAATATTATATTTCAAATTTTGTAATCAAAATTAAAAATGTACATGTGTACAATTATGACACTTTGCATCGATGCCTCGAAAGTAGAATTGTGCCATATCAAAATTTTCAAAATTAGAACTTACAAGCCAAAAACTCTGGACGCATTATATAAAAAAAAGCGTATTAGGCATATTTCTGAATAATTACGCGGCAGGAGTCAAAGTATTTAGAAGATTCCCTGAAAATTGTAAAATCCCGGACGCCATAAAAAAAAAGAGGTCCAGGGAAAAAAGGATGAAGGCAATCCTACAGTGCTCCGTGTCGTAATAAACCATGATAATTCTCGACAAAAGAATCACTTCAAAATTGCGCCGCGTCCACATAACGCGAAGAGAATCGCTGATACAAAAAGACACGTGTACTTTATTAAGAATTAGCACGTGCTACGAGCATCTTCGTGTCATCTCGGCGCGTGCGGCGCAGCGTGTCATATAAAAAATGAACGTAAAAGAGAAACGCTGAAGGCGGCCTTTGTGTTGGAATTCTCGGAGCATTGGCTAATGCTCAAAGTAACGATGTGCTTGTTTTTTTTTTCTATCTGTTCTATCGTGTGACATTACCCTAATCCGAGATGTGTGAATCTGTCGACGCGATAAGAATGAGTGAGTAAGAGTGAGAGAAAGAGAGAGAGAGAGAGAGAGAGAGAGAGAGATCCGCGGCTTCCTCTTTATTTCTTGCGATTTCTTATATCAAATTCTTATCATAATAAGCATTTCATGTTTTATTTTCAATGATATTTTATTATAATAAAATCTCATACGTAAGTATACTTACGTCTACGCAAGTATACTAACGTCAACGTAAGTTCGCTACATAACAATGCATTCTGAATTAATTTACAACAAAGGAAAACAATCAGATTCATGAGAAACGTTAATATTTATTACTTTGACACACTCTATAAAAAAATGTGTCAAACGCTTAACGCCTGCCGAACGTAACGAGCGATTCTCAGTTTTAATTCTTGTAATAAAAGAAACGATTGCAAATCGCTCGTCGGCAACATCGTCTCGGTTTTAGGCATTAACACTTGTGGAAAATACGAGGCATCCTCTTACAAAGCCCTACCAGGAGCCAGAAGCCCTGCCAAACTACCGTTCGCTAACGACACGCACGGAGAAAACACAAAGAGACCACGAAAAACGAAAGTCGGGAAAGCAATTTAGCTTTTTTCGTTATTAAGAGGGAAAAAGAAAAAGATTTTTCGTAACATTAATTCGTAGTCATGAACAGAAGATCAGTCAAATACATTCAAGCATCGTCTTCGGGACAAGAGTTGTAGATCCACCGAGCGAGTGCTCGATGTTTTGTACTGATTGTAAGACATGAGATACAGCAATTAAGTAACTGTAATTAAGCAAATTGCTTGTCGACATAGCGAAAGAATCGTATTCTCTTGTGCTGATACAAACATGTTTAAAGCTTTGTCTATATAAATTGCCTCCTAAGATTTTGAACAAAATTGAGGTTTCTACGATAAATTTAGGTCCAAATAATTTCACTTTTGTAAATTTAAATCAATGTGCTTAAACATTAATTAAATTTACAAAAATTAATGTTTAAACATTCAACAATTTCTCTGCGAGAATGTTTTTTTTTAAACTCTCTTAAACTCGACTAATTAACAAGCAATTTTAAAAGCTCCATGAAATCACTTTATTTTTTAAAAAATACAAATCTTTATATGGTCCTTTAAGAGCTAGGTACATTACTTTGTTGAATTATATAAGAAACAAATCATTGTGAAGTTAAATTTTCTACATTTTCGTAGAAAAATAATTCGTGTATTAATATTATGTTCTCAAAATAAAAAAAACAGCTTTTACATTACTTTCTGCAGTTATTCAAATACAGTATACAAATTTGCAATTCCATATAAAAACAGAATTTTAGACAAAGCTTCTAAAATCTGTTTACTAGATACAGAATCTTAATTAAATTCGTTACTTTACTTGCTTCACACAATAATAGAAAACCAGCGAGAAGTTTGTGTTGAATATATTCAATTTGGGAAAAACGTTCCTATCGCGACATTTCTCAATCAAATTAGAATTAGATTAGCAAACGATCGACAGTCGGCTGCTGACAAACGCATCGCACCGCGATGATGCTTAATTTCCAAGTTTGTCTACCGACGAGCGTGTCTTGTACAATTTCGCCGAAGAAGAAGTAATGCGGAATGAGAAGAAGCGCATAAATATACAAGTACGTACCGTGCGGTGGAGAGAAAAGGGTGGAAGAGAAATCGTACGTGTATGTGTGAAAAAAAGAGAGAAGGGAAGCGAGAGATACAGAGGGAGAGAATACGCGGGATAGGTAAAAGAGAAAAAACAGACGAAGAAAACACCATATCCATGCGTCCGTGCGTCCGTCCGCTCGTCCCGTCGCGTCGCTCCATCTCCCGGCACACAGACGTAAATGCTCTCTATATGTACCGTCAACCGGCGCGTCGTGCATGTGTGTGAGTACCGTAAGTGTGGTGTACGATTCTCTACCTTGCGTGTGCGCGCGTGTACGTATGTCGTGCATGTGTGAACTCTATTCTATATATCGATGTACATACTTACGTGCGAGCATGCGAGCTTGCTAGCGGGGAAGCAAGGAAGAAGAACGCTACGTGCTCCTAGCGCGCAATTCAGGAACACGCGAATGTATCTGTACGCGCGCGCAGATCAGCGGCACGACGCGTTCCTCACGCGACGCGATACAACAACGGCACAACACCACGACGTACGTACGATACGCGTAGGTACGTACGAAGAGCGCTACAGTCAACGGCCAGAGACGTCTCGGATCTTCCTACGTTCTCTTTCTCTCGTTCAGTCGCTCTCCCTCTCCCGCCCCCCCTCCCCCTCTCGCCTCCCTGCCCCCTTCGGCGGTCCCTCTTTGTGCAGGGTGGCCAGCCTAGGATGTCGCGTGGTACGGCGCGATCTTGCCATTCGCTATGCGCGTCATTCCCGAGCCGATCGACCGCGATCCGGACGATGTCCCATGCTCGCGTCGGTCTGCACCTCGCAGCGAGACAGCCGTTTCGGAAATGGGGATAAAAAACGACGCAAACGTGGACGTTGGCTTCTCGAGAACGACGAGGAAACCGCACGCGAGAACAGGGCGGTCACAAAGTTACGGGTGCCGATGGACAGCGCCGCGCGGCGCGCTCGCGAACCAACACGGCAACACGACTGCAGCGGCCAAGACTCTCTCTCAAACGCGGGACGACGACGGGACAAGCCAAGGTGGGAGCAGCCGCGCGCAACAATACGTTCCACCGGCGACGTCTCATACCCAACTAAATGGGAGAGTCAGGCAGAGGCAGGGAGAGTGGAGCGGGAGATGCCCTTTCCCCTCCCGCGGGCCGCGGGGATGCTCTCTCCCCTCCCGTCCTTACCGACCCTTCTGATCCACTCTCTCCCCCTACCCTTCCACTCATCCGTTCGCTCTCTCGTTACGGCCTGCCCCCCTCCCTCCCCTCGCTACCGCCGTCATCGTCCGTCTCTCTTTCCTGTCCTTCGCAGCGCAGTTTCGCATCCGAGGCGACTAGCTCTGCCCGCTCTGCCGGTTTCGTTTGGCTCGTCTCTCCTCATCGTCCCTCGCGTCATCGTCGTCTCGTCGTAGTCGTATGTATATGTGCTCACTAGTTCCCCCTTCATTTTTCTCCCACCACTTCTGACTGTACCTCCTTGCTTGCTTGCTTCCTTGCTTGCCCTCCCTTTTCCCTGTCTCTCTCTCTCTCTCTCTTTCTCTCTGGCCGGATAGTACCTCGCGGCTCGCACTAACACAGCGACATTGAATTGCCCCTCTCACGGCGGCATCGAGTCTCCTTTCCGCGCTGGTCGTTACCAGCTGGGGTTACACGACTACAACCAGCTCCCCTTCGTCCCCCCTCCCCTGTTCCCGTGCGCCTCGCCCGTCTCGCGTTATCCCTCTGTCGCACAGTCCCCTCCCTTTTGCCAGCTCTCTTTCCCTCTTCCCTGTAACGGGCCAAGAGCGGAGGGTAGCCCTTGTCTCTCTCTCTTCTTTATTTTCGCTTTTCTTCTCTCCCCCGCATGGCATTCTCCCTTCTTCTCTTCATAAAAGCTTCTCTCAACCTCTCCTTCCTGAACCCTCTCTCTCGATTATCCTTTATCTCACAACTCCGGCTGTCTCTCTCACTATTTCTCTCCCCATTTTGTTCGTCCCTTTACATCGGACGGTCTTTTCATATTTCTCTCTCTCTCTCTCGCTCCATGCGTCTCTTTCGTTCCGCTGTTCCCTTTTTTCCACGAAAAAGGTTTTCCCACTCTCAATCTTTCTTTTCTTTTTATGCTCATTCCCTGCCTATTCTGTAATAGCATCTTCCTTGCTCGTTTTCTTCTCTCTTTCGTTTCCCTTTCCACTATAATCTCTCCCTCCACTTCTTTTTGCCAGTCCCCCTCTTAACGGATACAGGGAGAGTCGAGGAAGCTTCGCGGTGTATATAATACGTACGATCATCGTCTGTAATCTTTACCAGTCTACCTGGCATCCACAAGTTAAAGACAAAGCTATGTTCGAATGCTGGTGTCCGAACGCAATGACATTTCGGATGAATCGTGTTATATTACATTCTAGAACGTAGAATCATTTACTCTGGGGTGTGTAACGTGTCGAGAGCTTAAATCGACGAATTGTAACATATACCAATCGTAATAAAAAGTCTCATATTTATATTTATTTAATGCAAGTAATGATAAATGCAGATAAACCATTATATTCGAGCAAGAAGTATTTAACGCAGTGTAAAAACTAGAATGTATATTATGGGCATGGCACAAAAAGTACATAAACTATATTCTATAATATATATGTAGAACTAAGGTTGCAAATTGTGGAACGCACTGCAGCGTACTTAGAAAGAAAAGATAGTTTTATTACAGAGAATTTGAAAATTTCTTTGTCGGTATATTATTCCAAATTATACCAAAGTCTTTTATTGCACCTAAAATATATATCTATTTAATACAAAATTATAAAACGATATGGGTTAAATATTAAAGTGATAATTTTACGGTAGCCTTTACTTTTTGCCATTTTACATGCTTCAATATATTTATTCAAAAACGTGCATACAAATGTCTCTCACGTTTCTCAGACATTTAAAAGTAATTTTAGTAAATGAGAATCACTGACTCGTACTTTCCATCGCAGGTAGAGGTCGAATTAAGAAAGATGGCGGCAGTTTAAATGGAGAGGCGGCGATGGTGAACAGTGACGCAACACTAAAATCGGACATTTATCTTAAGGTAAATCTAGCTTCAAAAGTCTAATTCGAAGTGAAATATAAATAGGAAAACCTTGACTTTCACTTTATTTGAACGCTTTCATATGATTGCATTAAACACTGCCATATTATTACATGTTCATTAATATATGAATATGTACATGTAGACAAGTGACGCAAAATTAAAATAAAAATTTCTTCCGTACTCTTTAATAAGTTACCAATATAAAAATGGGTAAGATCCTTAGGTGTTAAGTATTTTGAATTATAAAACAAAAAAAATGAAATATTTATTCAATGTATGTATATGATGAAAAATTGGGAATAAAACGCAATTTATTGATAAATTCAATAGCTATGTAACAGTTGATGAAAATATTCTACTTGCAATTTCATCGTATTATTACATTAAGAACATATAGTCTAAAGCCTTAGATCCGATGCTAGGAGTCGGTTCGTGATCTTGAACGGAGAGAGAATTGATCAATCGCATTGTCCGAAATTGGCCGAATTGTTGAAATGCGATTGGTCAATTCTCTCTTTATCCGAGATCTCGGACCGATTTCTAGTATTGTGAACACAAGGCTTAACATATGTTAAATATAGGCAAACGTAAATTTGGAAATAGGTACAGCGTGCCAATATTCGCGGCGCGTGTTAATTGAGGTATAAAGGAATTAATCAGGAGCATGAGAATACGAATGCGCGATAAACGAATATGTTTGTGGACTAATGGCATTGTAAGATCCGACGTCTAGGATCGCCAATGCGAGTCTTCGTGTGCAAGTGAACGGTAGAGATCTCTATGCACGTGAGACCGCCGCCGCCGCGCCGTTCTCGGCGCCGTTATTTGCGCGTACGCCGCGCCTGCGTCGTCCGAATATTCCCTCGCGTATATTTCGCCCAAACGGTTCCTCTTCTTCCTCTCGAGGAAGATCTCGTGAATCTTGTAGCACATGATACAATCAAGATTGCATCAATGATCAACAATCGGTTTGCGATCCTTTGCAGGTCGCAAGATAATTATATACTTACACTTCTTTGTCCGTGTCACGAAAATGATTTTAAAATATAATAACGCGTTTATTTAGCTGACACAGCTGTTTTAGGAACAAGATCAAATGAAACGCACACGCGAATTCAATATTTTCTTGTTGCTGATATCGTCGTTTTATTATTGATTCCAATTCTTTCTGGTTAAAGCCAAAAATTGTGCTCGAGCTTACAAGAAAAGGCTCCTAAGTGTCCCTCTCCGATTTCAATAAAATTTGATGGAATTTTAATAAAATTCTAGAGAGATTAAAAATATTTGATATATATATTTTTTTTTATTGACAACTAAACATATGTTTAAAGAGTGAAATCAATCAAAATCAAAAATTGACAAAATTTTCATTTTTCGGCTATAACTTTGAATGAAACATGATAATGTAATTTCGTATAAAATGTATAGAATTTCAAAGTCCGATATTGTAAGCCGGATCGCGCGATTTTTGCGTGAGCCGTTGCCGAGCGCAAATCTTTTCCGGTCCCTGGCATCTCGTCCGCCGAGCTCATGCTGCTCACAAGCGACTTCGAAATCTAGAGTGTTTAGAAACCTTAGAAGAAATATAGATCAAGTTAATGTTACAAATACTTTAAAGCAGGCGAATTTACGTTTGCTAATGCCCCATGATATAGCATGATCGGCGGCTTGTCATTTTGCTAGTCGCGTGCCAGTTAAATTTTCTGATCCTTCCCATATATACGGAACAAAACTGCATTATTACACATTTTCTTATATATAAATAAAACTTTTTCTTATAAATAAAATCTCGAATAAAAAAGATTTCAGTGTCTACTATAATAAAAAAAAAAATGGAAGAAGTTGAATTTCATAATTCATATTTTTAATGCAAAAAATTAATTTTTTTAACAACCGATAGCTTTTGAAATTCTGCAGTGTATATTTTGTACATTTACGAAATTATGCTTTGTTCGCAATAGCCGAAAAACGAAAGTTTGACCGATTTTTTATTTTGACTGATTTCTGCATCCCTTAAATATATATGTTTGATCGCCGATAAAAAATATACGTATCGAATATGTTTAACCCTTCTGCAAATCTACCAAAATTAAATCGGACAGGGACTCCTGATGGAAACCTTTTCTTGTTAGTGCAGAAACAAAAAAAAATAACAAGCATATATCTATTCTCTTAAGTATTGTTTTATGTTACTAATCGGTAACTATAACTCTGTTTTCAAATTTGCTGCTCCATCTGAATTCTGAAAAACTTTTGAAATCACTCAATCGAAACTCACATCAACGCAATATCATGAAAATGATACTTCGTCAAATATCTTCATAACTCTTTGATATCTTGTCGCTTTATATTTTATCCCAGCTTTTATTTCATTAAATTTAATTTTTAAAGTCTATTAAATTCAGTATTTGATATTGAAAGCGTATAATTTATTTAACATTATTGTTATTTTGCGAATAGTTGGTGCAGTAAATCTTTTGTTCGAGACACGATTTAATATTATCACAAATCTAAGAAAGTAGAGTATTGAGAGAGAGAGAGAGAGAGAGAGAGAGAGAGAGAGAGAGAGAGAGAGCAAATAAACGAGAGAAATAAAATAGTAATAGAATCGGAATAAATAACATAAATAGCAAAAATGAGAAAATCGATTTAGCAAATAGTAAGAGAACATATTTTAAATAGAATGGCAAGGCAAGCGGTTACGACCGGCATAATGGAGATACTGAACAGGAGCAAAATGCGTAAGCAAACTAATTCGTAAAATATAGTGAAATGAAATAGTTATTTCAATGTTTAACATTTGTTTTTCATCGCGCTGTAGCCAGAATCGATGTTAGAAGAGAGATATCCAAGATATCGATTTGGACAAATGCAAACATCGCAACACTTTCTTAAAATCCTACATATATTTGTACCTATATATTTTGATAATCTCAATCTTTGGTTGGAGATTTTTTGATCTCAACTTTTAAAAATCGTCTGAAAAAATTTGCTCATTCAATTTCGTTATATTTTCAATCATTTCAGCTGCAACTGCTATTCAAAAGTGACTCTCATTATTTTCTTTAGAATATATAGTAACATGAATAACGAGTCTTTATTGGTCGTTCTCACTTTCTTGAGATGCCATCACAGATGTACTGTATATTTATGGCAATAAAATACTATTGTCAACTCATCTATAGAAACTGTTGAGTATTATACTTGACAGTCTTCTTCTTATTCTTAAGAAAAGGAGAACGCCTTTTAATTCTTTGTCGAGGTATTATTTTATATTCATCACATAACGGGAGACTTTTATATATTTTAATTTTTTACAAAAGACATTAACATGATACACAATCACGAAAATCCCGCCCCACTACAAATCCCGAATCACATCTATAAGATCGATGTTTGAAGACCGGCTCATCCCTACCTCTTCCCCATTCCGATCGCAGAAAGTGGACGAAAATATTCGTGGTATGGTGCTCTGTCTCGTTCTTTTTTTCTCTCTCTCTCTTTCTCTATATATCTCTTTGTCGTTCCCTGGAGGCTAATCGTTTCCCGAGCTTTCGGGGCTCGGGAAGCTGCCTTCGAGCCGCTTCTTGTTCTCTCTCCCTACCACAGACCTACACGGACGGTCGGTCGTCGCCGAGGCCGAGGAGCGAGGAACGACGCAGCGAATGAGACGCTACCTAGACGGGGGCACATGATCTCTCTTCGTCTTGTGGCCCTTTCTCTAAGCACGGCCCGTTCCGCGAATCATCGTTCCCTTCATCGCGTGTGTAACCTGTATAGGTGATGATGCGTGGGCGGCTCCATCCGGCCGGCTATATCGGTGCCTTCCTGCACGTGTGTGTACGTCGTATCCGTGCGCGCGCGCGCTCGCACGTGTATATACATTAACATATGCGGGTGTATGCGTGCGCGGACGCCGGCATTCGCAGTGAGCCTGCGCCGCGCGATATCGGTCGATAGAGAAACGCTTTTGGGAAACGCTCCACGTGTTTCGCGCGGCGGCAAAGAAAGCGGGGAAGTCGACTCGACTCACGCTCGTGCGAGCCTTCTAACAGTCCCTTCTTCCGTATCGCGAAAATTTTACACGGTCTAGAAAACGATAAAAATTAAATGAACGGATTTTATTGTATTTCCGAATCGACAAATTATCACGATGATACGCCGCAAATGAGCGGTGCGATCTCGCCGAGCGATCACAGCGATCTGTGCCCGAGGGCGGTGGCATCGATGGCAAGGACGCGAGAGCGTATCGATTCATCGTCCTGCGTCTTGCCACCGATTTTAGAACAGTCGCACTGCGACTCCGCCTCACTCAACTCTCCTATCCCTCGGATCGAGAGACGATACTAGAGCGCGTGGTGGAGGGAAGATACGCTTGTGCGGGAGTCGTACTCCGAATTACGATACAAAGTACTTAGAAATATGTGTAATATGTATACACACATATATATATATATACACTTAGAAAAAATATAACGCTTTTTATTTTATCAATCTCTTTCTCGTACTCGAAATATTCAATATCTTTTTCTGTTGTTAGGTATGATGTTATTGATTGAATCAAATGACAATAAGTCGTATTAATTTATTCTCTTTTATATTAATTCATCTTTATTTATCTGATAAGACTCTCAACGCAAATGTTCAATTGGTCTGACAGAATCGATAATTATTTTCATTCAATTTCGAGCAAGAATTATCAGAACACGTAAATGTTGCTCTACATCGCAAATAAATTTCATCGATTTATCGATTTCGTGGTTTAATTTCTTGCGACTGCCTTGCATTTTCTGCACGATACGATTACGCGACGATCGGATTAGCTAGATCTAACGATCAAATTAATCGTCAGTGAGCCGTTCACGTCACGTGAGCGACGAGGAACGAGATCGAATATCGGGATCGTTTCATCGTCGTCCTTCGTCGGTCGTATCAAAGCCCAGTTCGCCTACGCGCAAACCGTTTGCAGTCGTCGCCCGCCGCGCGCCGCTTCGATAAGAGAGCTAAGAGCGTGGCAGTGGCCTGTGCGTCTTCCGAGAGGGGAAGAGAAAGCGAACGGGGCTCTCGCATTCCCCGGAGCCCCTCCTGTTGCGAGAGTACATTATTCATTCTCCACTACATCCGCAGGCAGTACGAGGGGTGCACCGTGTGCGTGCGCACATACACGCGTGTGCGTGCGTGCGTGCGTGCGTACGTGCGATCCAGTGGCGTGGACGGGATAGAGGGGAAGATCGAGATGGAAGAAGACCTCCACATCGTGGAGAGTGGTGGCGAAAAGGGTGGCGGCATTACGGCCGTGCCGTTCGTCCCCGTGGCGGGGGAGAGATAGAAAAAAACGAAATCCCGAGGATTGCCCGCCAATGGGATGAAACGAGACGGAACGCGAGCGAACGAGAAAGAGGAATAGTTTACGCGTGAATGTCCATTACACACGATGAGGATGTTTTCGTCGTTTGTAAATTTAGATTTGTCGTAAAGTTCGTTTGGCGAAAGATCTTGGACATTAGGAGAGCAGTAGTAGAACACTTTTATTCTGGAACAACTCTATTATTCTGTAAATTCCTCTCTGTAGCTACAAATTCGTTAAGTGATTTCCAAAATAGATCGATTCCAAAATATAGAATTAAGGGCCTATACTGTATTAAAATTCTTCAAAATATAAGACATAAAGTTAATGTCACAAAGCATCCGTTCGATCCGCAGGATTCTACTTTTTCGAAGTTAAAATTTTCAAAATATTCTGCGAAAAAAGAAGTTGAAATTATAAAATTAACAACCAAATCTTCATAGAAAGATTTTACTTGGATTTTTTTTATATCTTTCGAGAAAAAATTTCAGTTGCTTAGGTTTTGATTTCTTTTTCATCATACATCTATTATCGAATATCTAAGATAATAACCGCGATAAAAATTAAGAAGTGGCATATATAAATGACTTCAGATTAAGATTGAATTATTTACTAACGCGATATAAAAATATTCTTATAACTGCAGATAAATAAACATTTCGAGCATTACAGCACTGAGAAAAGTTTCACATGTATATATATATACATATATGTACCTAAATGTATAAAATCTCTTTAGATTTGGTTATGTCAGGTGATTGGATAGACGTCACTGACGTCACTCGCTGATCCGACGCTGATCTGACCGCGGCCGTAGTCTGCAGTCGAAGAGCCGGGGGTGCGAATCGCGTTGTGTAACCGTGTCTCGTTTGCGCCCCGAGTGCGCTCAGCCCTCTTCACTTCCGACGCACTTCCCCGGGGAGGCCACAGCCAATCAGCGGCCGCGGCTTGTGGCTGCAGGCTGACTCTCTCGCGTCTAATGTAGGTTGCCGAAGGTGAGCGTCGGTGTACCTTCCTTCTTGATAGCACAGGTCTTCCGTTCCAAGCGTACAATATCATCCTCCTATAGCTGTGCCGATCGCCCCGGCGAAGGGGCGAGAAGGGGAGTAGGATTAACTAGGTGTATCGTCTGAAGCTCCACGATTCCGATTCTTTAATAAACTCCATGATTTTTTATACAATTCTCAAATGTCTGCGATTGGTCGGCGATAATGACATATAGACTCATACAGTCATAACAATATTTGTTAATCAGTCAGGAGAACAATCACTTTTGTTATACATTAGTAATGGATTTAATAATATTTTCAAAGATCATAAAATGCCCATTATTAGAGCTTTACAATCACATCGTTCATGATTTATTGATCAGCCGAGAGATTACCAGCTATTTTACTTATCATATTTGTCATATAAATAAACATAGTTGTTTGTTAGGAAACATATAATATTAACGCGATTAATTTTATAAAGATATCTTTTTGCAAATAATAATAAATGGATAAAAAATCATTAAATGAATCAATAAATAAATTGTTACCGCTCTGATGGAGATAAGCCTAAAAAGAAAAGTAAATTGAGTTACACGAATGCCAAAACTTAAAACAATCCCGCGCGTATATTCTTATTAAGGAAACCATTAGAGACGACAAAAATCTACAGAATAATATTTTTATTAATTAACAATACGAGTACACGTATTTATTGATGAATTCTAACAAGCCATGGTTTTAAAATTTCTCAATTATGTAGTATATAAGTTGAAACTTGTAACAATTCCAAGCTTGGTCCGCCATTTTCACGCTCGGTCCTACACGCATACACACACATCAAATCAAGTTTCTACGAAGCGAATTTCTATTCTTACAGTACGAACTTTGCCAAAGATTTGAAGAAAAATTGAAGCTAAGAGATTTAATTTTCTGCAGAATATTCGATGCGTGATACAAATTCGATTATGCTATTGCTATGAAACGAAAGGCTATTAAAACACGAAGACGAGTGAAAGCTCGTTATTCCACAATTTCTGTTTTATTGTTTTACGCCGAAAAAAAATATCAACACAGTTTTACTAAGAAAATGATTTTCTATCTAAATGATAAGAGGTTTATTCTACTCGCGATATTCGACATCATATTCGGTGTCGCCGTCATAAAAATGTTCCATATTGCTGACGAATATAATAGAAATATGTAAAAATTAATTAATTATATGAAAATGTACGGAAATTATCGAAAACAATTTGATTTTTTTTTTAAATAAAAAATTATAATATAATATTCCTAACTTATATGATGACAGAGCACGGTCATCAGTTGACTTACCGTAAATTTGTATCTGCGAGAGAAATATATATTATGTATCATTAATAATAAAGTAAGGATGAGTAAATTGGTATCATATGTGCAAGATATTATATATTTTATTTCGTTTACCAGCAAATTCTACAACGTACAATACGATATGATTTCAGAACAGCTCTTCTGAAACAGATGGGTAAATGGGGTAGCTAATAAATACGCGCAACAATTACCGTCTTCATCCATTCGGTACCTAATTTTTCGCTTTCGTTAAATAAAATTCGACAATTTCTCTCTTGTTAACCTTGAAGATCGTATCGCACGGTATAATTCGTTTTGTCAAACACTCGAACGATCGCAACAATATTAAAGATGCATATTATACTATTCTATACGCATATACATTCACTCTCACATCATAAAAACAGATTTTCGTGCGACAATCATTTTTGTCACCAATTTTGATTTTAAGAGTTGTTAGTACCGTTTTCGGATTTTTTTTTTTTTTTTTTTGGGAATGCTTGGCCGTTTCAAGTATATAGGTGTAACAATTTAACTTGTGTGTCATACTATTACTACAATATTGTAGTATGCATATACACTGCACGTTTATGTTGCGCACATTGCTAATTAAAAACCTAATTTAATATCTCTTTTATATTTATATTAATTAATGTAAGAGTGGATAGATTTTCACACACAACACACACACACACATACTCTCACTCACTATCATATTATTTATATGAGCTCTCTCGCTACTTATACATACAAGGAAGAATAGCGACGTTGATTTATTAAACAGTGATGGATATTGATTTAAATATTGAATTATAAACATCAATTAATAGTTATTTCAATATGAATAAAAATAAAGTACTTATATTATCTAATTGTTATAAAATTTTGTTGTAATAATAATTCATAAACGTTGTCTGTATAGACAACATGCAAACAAAAAATTTTTCTCTATTTAAATAAATATTAAATAAATTTATTAAATAAGAATTAAACAACAATAAATTAACTGAAATCCAAATAAATGTTAAAAATGAACAATTGTACTAATAGAGATTTATTTGCAATATAATAATAATATAAATATATAAATTCTTTAATTTTAACACACCATAACTATCGTCTAAAGATTAATAGCTAAAACAATTTATGCAAACATAAACGAATACGCATTATCTCGCTGTGATATTTGGCATAGAATAATAATTGTTATCATTGCAGATTACATTATAATTAATACTAGACAATTCGAGCGGACAAATTCGTTCGAATACTGTATAGAATACTGTATAGAATACTGTATAATATGACGTATTTACGATAATATGATTGATAATGATAAAAATGAATTATGATGGTGAAGGTGTCTGAGATTTTTAGTTCTCGTAAACGAAGCCATTTTTCGAGCCAACACTTTCGCAATTGTGCGTCCCCGTATATATCATTTGAGATCGTCGCTATGTTAATGACGTAGATTTTCGCTTTCGATAAGACCTGTCGTATTGTTTCTTCAAGATACTTAATATGAAAAAAAGATAGAAGGTAGGATCTTATATTGATTGACGATGAATCATAACGATTTTCAAATACCTATATCTTACGTGACCGATATACACGTCCACGAGATCTCGAAAAGATGCAAAAATCTACGAATATTGACATTACTATTTACCCTGGTATAGTAATTATAATAGCTGAATGAATTGATCGTGCTACATTTTGACATCGAAAACGAGGAAACAAACGAATTTCTTACGTAGTAAAATATACCGTTTTTTTTTGTATATCGCACTACTTGCGTTTGACAGAATTTGTAAAGGTATGTTAAAAACTGCTTTATGATTATGTTGATTAAAAAAATTATTACACTTGACTATAATGTTGACATAGTTTCGGATACAGATCTAATTTTTTTCTTTCAATAGAATTTGATATCTTTCTGAAATTTGTTTCGATGTAACACCTCATATAAGATATATAATAAATGCATTCTGTTACTTAAAAACGCGATAGAAAAATAGTTTTGAGAAATCTGGGTCCCTCTTGTGTACCTATTTGTGCAGGCATGCGTGCGAGCGCGTGTATTTGAATTCGCTGTGAATGAAAGTGAGAATTAATCGTAGCTCTTTTCTTCCTGTTTGCAAAAAATGGCAGTTTTGATTTAATCCTTTCTTTCTTTTTACATTATCGAAAGCGCTCTATTGTGTCGATGACAACTAATTGACGCGATCTCATTACGGGGAATCAAAGACTGATCTAATTAACGATAACCTTGACTTTCTCTCTTTCTGACTTTTTTGCGTTTTTTAATTATCCGCTGTCGTTTCTTTTTATTTCTTACGTATTCTTATCATGTTAGTTTGCTCATTAGCATTCGTTCTGAGTTTTCTTTCGATTTTATACATCGATCCTATTTTTTCCTGATGACAAATCTAATTTTCGTTGGTGACAATGTGTGTGTCTTGTGCCTTCATTATTTCACTATCAATACTTCGCCGTTAATATTTTTCACGTCGGAAGCAGATATTCATTTGTCTACGTTATTATTGTGATAAATTTATTTAATATCAATTTTATTTGTGTTCATCACTTACATAATCTTTGTGTTTAATCTTTTATTGAATGACTTTTCCAAGAGTAAATTTGGTTTGCATTATTGATTTGACTTTTCATTGTTATTATCACTGATGTAATAAAGAGACATAAATACGTAAAAATATTATGTATTTTTAACAATAAAAAATTTGAGGAAATGTGGAAAAAATAGTTACAATTTTACTTTAAAATTTGTAGAAATAAATGACTATTTAAATTTATATTATTTGGCATTTAAATCTGTTGCTTATCATTTTCCGCTATAATTATATTAATATTTGCTAAGTCCCATTCTAATGTCGGTTTGAATATACTTGGTCACATTCATGTTTTAACACAGTTCTGTTCTGTGTATTAGAAACTACACTATTAATCGAAAGTCGCTTCATGCATTGATTTCATTCGAGTATATAGGAGCCGGTTTTCTACATATAAACGTCTCAAGTTTCCTTTACAAATGTAGTAAACCGTTACGATTTCACTGGATCAATGAACATGTCCAGGCAACAACTTAGATCTTTTTTCAATGAAAATTATATGTTTATTTGTTTACTATTCCTATCTGTTATTAATTGACTTGTGATGAATTACGCCAAAACCAAGAATATGCAATCTTTTGCAGTTTTACGGATGCTGAAACATTTCAGAGTTTGCAGCAATAAAATTCATAACTTATATGCATAATTTTTTTATAGTGAAAAATATATTTATAAAGTATCTATTTGTCGAGAAACTCTATAGCAATTCTCTAGTAGTCAAATTCAGTAAAATTAGACGATGGACGCGAAAGCATACACGTTAATTGATAAAAACTGTAAAATTTGCATTCAGCGTTTTGGCACATTGACAATAATGCAAATATGAGAAACATTGCAAAATTTCCTTCAAATGAATTGCAATATATGCTCATCTACGGTATATTATAAATTGTACTATTGGAACATTTGACAATAAATCTAGTGATTGGAAAAATTTTCTTTGTGACAAATGCCGATTTTATCTCAATCAATTCTTTAAAATATATCAAAATATATTATTATAACTGTTAAAAAACAACTTTTTAAAATATATCAAAATATGTTATTATAACTGTTAAAAAACTATCTTTCATTATCAAGCATTAGCTTCGCATAGAAGGGCTTAAAAATTACGATATAAACGATAAGGAAGAGCAACCGTTTAAGGAAATTTAAGACACTTTGAATAATTTCTTATCAAATACACATTTTTATTTTTCAAATTGTAATTATATAGTTCGTTTCGTGTGAACTTGCTATATATTTTTCAATGCACGTGTTATATTAGAGGGATCTACATCGGCTGTATTGTAAACGCGTGTGGAAGTAAAACCGGCTTTTACGAATGTTATTCCCGCATTTTATCGTTTGCTGCAGTTCGCACTTAGGAATATAGCTGTTATGCGTATAGAATATTTTTTATAATTTTCAATCAATCTCTCAATTAAGTCAAGATTAAATTTGAAAATGATGCTATATTTTGCGATTGGTCATTTCTTTCTCAAGTTTACGAGTTTTTTTATTCGAAATTATTCTGTAATTTATGATCCAGTGATTTCTTCTTCTACAATATATAACCATTTATTTAGGGTACTGGCATCTATTCTTTGTTACAATATCTCGTATTCTGTTAGATATCTATATGTGAGAGGAGTGTAGAAGCAAAACTCATATTTTTAATTTCTTCTAAATTTTTTTAATAAGACAAATATATAGATTTGGATGGTTTTGTTAATATAATCGTTTTATTTTTAATATTGATTAGAAACGCTAAACATTAGCTTCGCTACGTCATTTCTAATTCAATAGCAAAGAAAAATTAAAAATATCAACTTTGCTTCTATACATCAATATAAATGTATGCTGGGATTTATCTTAATACAGGAATTACAAAATGTACGTCGCGAATTCGTTGGAAGAATTAAATAACATTCGCTGAAAAAAGTTTTATTGTTTCCAAATGGCGTGTGGAATTTGCAATTTTTCCGCCACTTATTCCGTCAGTTTTATTTAAGGCCTACGCGCTTGTCAGTCAGAAGGCGCATTGCTTTTTTGGTCATCGCCGCACACTGGAGTGCGCGGTCATAATTCGTAACGATATTTCTACGATCTGATTTCGTAACAAATTTCTTTTTTTTTTTATAAATTTCACAAAAATGTGCTGTTATAAAAACATCTTGTCTCTCGGACAAGTCTATATATGCTACGGAGTCCCTTCAGGGAATCACAAATCACGCACACGCAATTCGTATGTGTCCGTACGAATACTGTCTACCTACCTTTTATATCTCGGCACCGCTAATTCGCCGAGCGATAAATCGATTATATATGTTTACGTTAAATGATAACTAAATTGCACTAATACATTGCACACGTTCTCGGGCGTTCTTTGGCATCTCTACAAATTATTACATATACATGTGTTTCGTTAATCGCTAAGTTCTGAGAAGGAAAAATCGCATCCGACGCGATAGGCCCGCATATATACTCGAGAAAAATGATTCATACGAGTTCGAGTCTCGAATAGATTTCCTGAGAGTAATGTGACATAAACAGTAATGTGATCGGTTTCTTCTTGAAACGGGGGATTGTTTATTATTTACATCTTTGAGAACATTCAAACAAATTGCATACTTCATAATTGTTTTTAAATATTTTAAATATTTTCAATATTTTCCCAACAAACGTTTCAAGAGTTTTCTACACACACACACACACACACACACACAATTAAATCAACAAATAAGCAGTTAAAATAATTCAACAGTAAACATACATTATAATAATACATTATAATAATACGTAAAACACAAGGAACTTTTTTGGTCAACTAAAATGCATTCCTCTTCAATGATAAGAATATTTGATAAATTGTAAACGTGATATAAGATTTTTAATAAAAATATATGTAACACAAATTCAAAAATATAGATACGCTCAGTTTGATGCTAACTTGAAGAGATCTACTCGATTATACTAAATAATAAACTTATTACAGAAATCTTTGAGCACTCGAACCCGTAGTTCACTTTCCGCGAACTCGGAGTTCTCGCACAGTTCTGAAGAAGAAACAACGGGCGATTATATTATATTTATGCTATCATTCGTTTTGCTGTTATCATTCTACTCATTTATCAACTAACATTCTCTCTCTCTCTCTCTCTCTCTCTCTCTCTCTCTCTCACACACACACGCGCGCGCGCGCGCGCTAACTATATCATCTCTATTGAATATTGGATACGGCTTCATCAAGCGTTATAGATTTTCTTGCGTGAGTCCGTTTGTCAAATCGATCCGCCAGTAAATACAGAGTATAGATTAACACAGGTAAAGTGTATAGTATTATAATAATTTGTAGTTTTGATATATGTATCTAGATAACAATAATCGACCTTTCCCTTCCTTCCCCTTCGGAAAATAAGATGTCGATGGCGGTAATTAGATCGAACGTAATACGTAATTTGTGCGCTTTACGTAGTAAAAGACATCGTTTAGTGACTGTATAGACAGCGACTGTTTATTTCAAGTAAGATAATTGAATATTATATTTGATTTTTGTCGATATAGTAGTAAAATCTTTTATCACGCACGCGTTTTAGGAAAATTTCAATTCAATTGGAGTAATAAAGTTTGCGAAATACTTAAGGTATATATATATATTTCGATCATAGAGATATAGAGATTCCATCTCTCGTGGCGCTCTAGCTCTCGATATTGAAGTTTAACGAGTGAAATGATTTATAGGGAAATAATAAATGAGAGAGGGAGAGAGAGAGAGAGAGAGAGAGAGAGAGAGAGAGAGAGAAGCAGGGAATAAGAAATTAATTATATTAATAATGATAAAAAACACGTTTATGGTTTTGGCTTCTGGACGACATTGAAGTAACTGCGTTGAAGTAACTTTTGATTACGATATTGAGAGACCACGACAGCTTGAGGGTTCGGGATGTGGCGAACGCCGAGATTGGGCTTGATTTTCATGCCGAAACCGGAGATGCGATTCTGCGGCTGTGGTATGCGGAGAGCGACCTTATTGGCGGTGGCGTTTACATTGACGGAGGCTGCCAATGCCGGCGATTCCACCACCGCTGGATTCTTTTCGACCAGGCAGTCGCTCAGGCGTGACACCGCGGCATCCGAGAGAGTTTTCAGATTCGATTCTTGCTGTCCCTTGCCGCGCTGCTGTTCCAACTCCTTGGATTTGTTGTTGCTGGCGGTGGATCGCACTGGCAACGACGGCAACAACGGCAAAGACATCGAGCATGACGATGGCGAGGAAGAAGCTGAGGAAGAGGAAGAGCAAGAGGGCGAAGATGACGAGGAGGAGGAGGAAGAAGAGGAGGAGGAGGAGGAGGTGGACGAGAAAGATGGAAGAATGGACTGACTGCCGGGAAACGTAGAAGACAGATCGAGGACGTTGTCATTGATAGTGGTGCCGGCGCTGCTGAGGTCTAACGGTTTTTCATACTTGGAAGTGATATTCGACACTATCACGCTGGTCGCGGCAAAACCAGAAGGTTTCGCGACACGTAGAGGCGTCAACGGCGGTGGTTCCTTCTTCTTCGGCGTGACAGGCGCTGCCACGACCTTGGGCGCGGCAGACGCGGATGGGACGACGGCGGCGGCGGCGGCGGCGGCGGCGGCGGGTGCGGAAACGGAAGTGAGAATGGACGTTGGCGTCTTAATGACGGACGACGCTAGTTCTTCTTTCGTGGAAATAATAGTTTTGAGCGCGTCGCGCATCTTCTTCTCCGCCAGTAAGCTACGCACGCGGTTCGCCTTGTTTTCACGTAACTGCTTCTCCAACTTATCACGACTCAGACAGTCCGCCTTGTCATTGCCACTCTGCGCGCGTTGCTTCGCCGTTTTGTCACCACCGGCCTCGTTAACGGCTACCAGGCCGAGTCGCCGCAGAATCTCTTCGTCTTTCTTCGGTCTTTCCGGTACGTCATTGCTCTTGGAAGTTTTCGAAGTCGATTCTACCATCTCCTTGTTGGTCTTCTGTTTCGCCGCGGCGCACTCCTTGGATTTAGACTCTTCGTTTTGATTGCTTATGTTCTGCGCGATACGCACAACCTCGTCGGGAATGCTGTCAATAATATCCTCGATCGTTTCCTCCGCCTCTGCCACAACGTACTCCTTGGACTTGGTCTCCTGTCGAGTTAGCGGACTCGCCGGCGATCGTTGATGGACGAGCGACTTGATCTTGTCGCGTCTAACTGCTCGCATCTGCAGCAGCTTCTCCTTCGTCGGACTATTTGCACCGCTTCCACCTCCGCTGCCACCTGTCGCCCCGGAAGTGATCCTCGGAGGACATGGCGTCAGGCGAACCTTGAACTTGAGGAGATCTTCGCGCGGCGTTGTGGTAATCTCCGCGATCACTCGCTTATTTCGCCGTTTGTGTCGCTTTCGATGCTCCAACCTTGCCATATCCTTGCTCCTCGCGCTCTCCGGTGTCGTCTGTTGACGACGATTGTTCGTTAATAATTCGGTGGTCGATGGGGGGTCCGGGGTACGCATGACAGGTGTCACCTCACATCGCGGCTTTTTCGTTTTTGTCTCTTTATCGTGGATATCGACGTTCGTCTCGAGAGCACGAGGTGGCTCCGCGCTGCGAGCTTCCGCTTCCTGCTCGCGATTGGGACTCGGCGGTGGAGTAGGTGGTCGCTGTATACTTTCCATTGCCGACGGAACATCCTCAGACGCGTCCTTGTCTTTGTATGAGGAATCTTTTGAAATCGAATCCGCCGCCTTCTCCTTTCGTATCACCCGGTAGAACAGTTTCATTGGTGTTTTCTGCAACAAACGGGCCATCGCGCCGCCTTTCATAACATATGCGCACCGCATCGGGTGGCCAAAGGCTCGGTCATAACAAACATGAGAATTTACAGTTGTTGCTATTTGACGAGTTTATTTATTTTATTTGCAAAAAATTTCGCGAGAGCATTTTCCTGCCCGAGTTAGTATTTTCGAGCGATTTATAAATCGACGATCGAACGATTGAGCGATGAGAATTGAAACGTTGCCGCTAAGATAACACAAATTGCGCGATGCTAATAGCAACGGCATGAAATTGCAATAGTCTTTAGAAGATAGAATGCTAGAAATGTTATAAAGCTAGTAAAAATGCAATGATTAAGATATCTTTAACGTTAATCCTTAAATACTAAAAGTAATGAGTTAGACGTATTAATAAAAATTTCTCTCACAAGAGAGAAGTTTTCAGACAAACTTGATATTAAATCCCAAAAATTCAAATATTGAACCAAAAAATTAAATTAAAAAATCGTATGTAATTATATCTCCTGCATCCCTTTTCTGTGAGAAAAAAAATACAGGAATAAGAGAAAAATCATTTGGATCAAATCAATCCGAATATTCGAAGGTTAATAATGTACAGACTCGATTTATACAATATCGTTTTAGTATAGAAAACGATTGATCGGCCGTTAAGTTGGTGTAAATAAACTCACCCTCTTCCAGTGAAATATGCAAGCGAGGTCTAGAAGCGTCCAAGAGGGATCGAGCGGGTACATCCTTTCTCCGTCGGAGTGTCGCGTATCTTTCTGGTACATAATTTCTATCCTATTATTGACACCGTTGATGTTCGCGTTAGCCTCCTCCCATCCTCTCTTTAGCATCAGCAGTCTCACTAGATGACGCACTGCCACGGCGGCCGGGCACTTGAGATACCTCGTGCTTCCGCCTCTACCATCACCTCCCGCCAGGACCTTGTTCCTCCTCGATGAATCGTGATTCTCCTTCGGCGTCCTGTCTTCCGTGTCGTCTAGCTCTTGCAAGCTCAGACTGATGAAATCCTCCAGGGTGAGTTCGAGAGCGCCCACGGGCGGTGTTAACGGCGGACATTGCGGATTCACCAGACGGAAGTGACGTCTACGTTCGAGCTCTGATCGGAAGAGACCGGGCACGGTGAGGTACACCAGCCGCTGGAGCTGCGTATCCGGCAGGAGCGGTGGCGACGTCGCGGCGCTACACACGGGACACGCGCGGGCGCCGCTACTCAGACGTCGAACGATGCAACCTCTGCAAACTAATGATCCGCGACCGCGATGTGAGGAAAGAATGATCACAGCGTCTCAAAATCGTGTTTCAAGATATATAATGTGAACCCGATTTGACATCACGATATTTGACAGTAATTAAAAGAATACGTTGATTTTCCGAGACTTAAAAAAAAACCGTTAAGGACCATGATTCGTGTATGTTTGTGGGACGAGCGTGATACAGAATATATAAAATTCATCTTGCAGATTAGTTGCAAGCTACAAAATATGTTCTCTCAATATAATTTGAAAAAAAAGCACATTGATCTCAAAAACTCTGAAAATAGTAATTTTGAAGAAAAATTCTTTCTGCATTATATTTGTTTTTTTATACAAGCATCAAATATAATAGAATCATGTTTTTAATAATTACTGTACTTTTTTTACAACGGCCTATAGTAATCGCCTATTAATTAACGTTAACGACAAGCAATTGAAGATTAAACTGGGCAAAATACTAACAGGAGTGCAGACATTCCACAAGAGTTGTAGCATCTATGAGGTATCCTCTGCAGAGGGGGCACACGATATGTTCGCTCAAGTCTTTGACCAATGGTTTTTCCCTCTCCTTTGCCTCCATGTTGTTAATCTGTGCTGAAACAGCTGTGCCAATCGATTGTTAATTTATCGCGAACAATACTTACAGTCGCCGATTCAGCTACGAGCTATAATTAATACATGTGTTCCATAATTACTTTTTAATCCTCAAGTTTGTTGTCCCTGATCTTATTGTTCAATATCATAATTATATTCAATCAATTTCTTATAAACAAAAATTACTTTACTTGCGATAAATAATGCAAACGGATATATATGACTGTCTTATATCTTTTCTCAACGTTCAAAGTTTTCGATATACTAATTTTACAATATATGATCTTTTGTTTTCTTTAATGAAATAGAATGGAAATTAAATATTATACATAAATTAGAAAATAGATTCTTTGAAGCGAAATTTGATAGATTTATTAGAATAGATTTATGAAACTTGAAATAGGATTTTCGATTTCGGGATAAGCTATATACGGGACATCATTGTCTATACGTGACAGCATTAAAAATCGCCACGACGACGTGACGATGACGGTGCGCATTGTTGGCGATAAGATTTGTAATAATTATAATCAGTACTGGCAGGCCGCTGCCGGTGGATTCGTGCAAATATGCGTAGGCCACGCATGCACCCGCATACGTTCGCGATGCATTCCCGTGCGTTATAGCGTCACGAGAACGCTGACGCGGCGCGGGCGTTTGCGATGTTTCGAGTTTGCTCGCGTGAACGATGAACGGCACGCGATTTTCATGCGCATCGGCGCGGACGTATGTATACGATGCTGACGTGCGTGGACGAATGTCCCTCGCGAGAGATCTCGGGGGAAATGTGCCGACGCGACGTATTGCCAACAAAACTTTAAGGTCTATCTCTTAAAGGGGATGGTTTCTCTACTCTCCTTCTCTCTCTCTCCCTCCCTCTTCTATCGCGCGCTGCGCGCATCCAAGAACCAGTGTGATACTTTCGAGCCGGTAAACACGCCGAGAGTCCGACGACCAACGACTCAGCGCGGCGGCGCGCGGCGTACAGGTGTAAGTGTGTGGTGTGTCGCTGTGTACGAGTTTCGTTCGTGCGATTCGTTTGTGCGGCCTGCTCGACATCGGTGACGAGAATAACTAAAGGCCCGTAGCTCGTAAAAGAATGCTAGAAGACACAATCGAACATTCTCTTCGGTGTAATCTATATATCATTCTTGAGAATGCTATACACTTGCGAACGATTGCGATCAACTCATGCTTTCTTTTCTTCTTTTTACTTGCTAAAGTAAAAGTTTGCCACTAGTTTCAAGATTCCTTAAATATAAAATTACCAAAATTAATTGAAAGAAAAAGAAGCAATGAAAAATAACGAAAACTTGCTCAAATCTATGTAAGAAATTATTTTCCACCAATTAATTAATTAACACAATTGATAAATTTAAAAAATATAGATAATGTTATTTTTCGTAATATTAAAAAAGTATATAAAAAGTATGTTCAAAATATTTATAATAAATGAAAATATCCAGAAATCGACATTGAACGACATACAGGGTATCCGGTAATAACCGTGAGTGGTAGAGGAAATTAAACTAAACAGAAAACTCTCTACCATTTTGCAAAATTCGCAATCATTAACAAAATATTAATTTTTAAAGATTGGCGAATAAACGCATATCCGTTCGGTCTACCGCTGAATGCAAGCGCGCGGCGAGTCGCTTACGCTGGTTTTATTCCTAATTATTTGATTTATTTCATTTAAGCCTGAATTTTGATGAATATTGAAAAATATAAAACGTCGATAAGCTTTGTGCGATTTGTTAATAATTGAAATTATTATTTTCGCGGAACAATTAATACGATGCTCGTCGTCGATTATTCAAAGTTGAGCAGATTAAACTGGTCGCTGGTTCACCACGCGTTTACATTCAGCGGTGGACCGGACAAATATGCGTTTATTTGTCACTCTTCAAAAATTAATATTTCGTTAATAAATATGCGAATTTTGTAAAATGGCAAAGGACCTTCTGTTCAGTTTAATCTGTCCCCGAGAGCTGGTGCGATTATCGGACTATTATAATCATATTCTTGTATGTATAGTGTGTAAAGATAAGATTATAAAATATAAGCATTTTATTTAAAATTATTCTCATATCATTACTAAAATTATATTATATTATGAAAGTTGAAACAATAATAAAAGTTGTGCAAACAACTATTAATTATAAGCAAAGAAAAGTGGCATAATTATATCTGATGCCTGCTTACGCGTATCAATTTCAAAGCGTATCTTTAGTTATCTGAATTAAATTGTGTATATCTATAATTATCTTTTCTATAGCTGTAATTGTTTTAAAAAGATATTAAAAATTAATGTTTATCGTTTCCTGATTTTTTTCTTGTATCTTAATATTTTAATTTATGAGACTCTGACTATACATTCTGTTTTTCATTTCGATGTAAGCATTGTCGCTATGTAACAATTCATGCACTCACGACCTTTTGTGCAAATTTAGAAATCACGATCGTTCGTGTCGATTGCTTGAAAAGTAGTTCGGTGGAATAGTAAGACGTTGTGCCAACTGGCCACTATGATGGCATAATGGTCCGCGATGGGTTAATGAACTTTCGAAAACGAAAGTCCGGTCACCACCATCACCACCACCATTACCTGTGCCCTGTTGGTACAATAACATTGGCACGTTGGACATACGAATCCGTGCGAAAGCGACTCCGGTCTGTGAATGATCCGCCAAGGCTGGATCTACGAGGGAAGGGATGAATATCTCTCCGCGCGCTCTTTCACCTCTCTACCCACGAAAGAGAGAAAGAGAGAGAGAGAGAGAGAGAGAGAATATGGGTGCCAAGTCCAGAAAACGTTCCTCGCATGCCGTGACTCGTCGGAAATCGAGTCACGTGTCATCGCTCGCGCCGGATAAACAAACGTGCGAGGTCAGACGAATTCGGATCGATCCTCGAGACTTTGGTGTTGCTTATCGCGAAAGAAACGCTCGAATAATATGCATTCTATTTTTTTTGCCACTCCAAAAAAAGCAAAAATGTTTAGTCGTGAAATTCTGGCTTCTTTGATATATCCTGATTCAACTCGAAAATATAAAAGCCTAATTGGAATCATTTCCCAACTGATTAATCAGTGCACGATACTTATACCATAATTTTCAAACAATGATAATAGATATAGATAATATTATATAAACTGAAATAATATTATATCGATCATCGAATATCGGCGATCAATATAAACGAATTTAAAAATTAACATTTTATTGCTAGATAAATTTGTCGCACTTGTCTTCGATGGCTGTCGCATTTGTACACGTATGGAAAAAGAAAAGCATACTGAGATAAGAAAAAAATGGTTGCAATTATCATATTTTAACTAAAATGTATAGTCATTTTGGGTACTATATATTTGTTTGGTAGAACTGTAAATATAATTATTATTGCTAAAATTATAGGAGTAATAATTTAAAAATGAGACTTCTAACTCATAATTATTTAACATGCAATTATATTTGCAAACACTTTTCTCTCAGTGTAAAAAATTGGTATAAAAAAAGAATAGGGCATAAAAATAATAAAAATACATATATTTACATATATGGTACGTGTTCATAATACTTATTTATATTTGCATATTCAAAATTTCTGTTTTAAATGTGCAAATATAATGTTAAATAAGAAAATTCCAGAAAATGACTCTTGCGATATCGAATAAGTTTTGTATAGAATACATTTGCGAGATATGTTGATTAAATGCACAATAAACGGAATACTTATGGGATTGATTAATTCTTTGTAAAAGATAATATTTTTAAGCAAGATCAGAAACGCCAATAACATTTTTCTCTTTGCGAAACTGCAATGTTAATATACAGATTTAACTTCGTAAAATAAAATTAATCTAATTGTAAGATAGAAATAAAAGGGATTTATGTGTGATATTATGATTATATTCTAAACATAGACACTTTTATTTATCTACGAAAAAGCTCGCAAAATGCATAACGATTTGCATTGCAATTTCTGAAAAGTTCGCCATTTCATCAAGCAATGCGAATATCGGGCAAAACAAATGTAAAAAGTATATCACCGGTATTGAATAGCTATTCACCTGCAGTAATTTTCACTTTCACGTGAAATTTCATTAAATTAAAATAGACTTTTACATTTGCGTGTGCCGATAATTGCGTTTTTCTGTTTTAATACAGCAAAGCGATATATCAAGTAAGCATATCAATTTTCTCCATTCCTATTGGTTTTATTACATCATGTCCTTGCAACGTGATAAATTAACGCGATAATTATCTACAAGAGATGTATTCACGTTACCTACACTATTTTTTTTACTCTGAAAGCTCCGATTGACTAACGCACGTAACAATGTGCACTCGATTATGACTCGTAAAGATCTAAAATTTAAGTGACGTCTAAGGTTCGAAGTCGCGAGTGTGTCCTGTCAGGTGGGACACTATGCTTTTTATTCGGGCATGAATTACCATGACCACCTACTACCGTTACTGAGCAGCGTGTTAGCTGAGCATCACCACACGACAAGTACACATCATAGCACTCCATGTCGTATATGTATACCGAATTGAAACCGCGCGGCATGTCACTCCGATTCATGTACGCATCGTTCTGTAGAGAAAGAGAGAGCGAGGGATAGATAGGGAAAGAGAGAGAGAGAGAGAGAGAGAGAAAGCGCGCGAAAGAGAGAAAAAAAAGAGTAACATGTAAAGCAGCAGCAGCAGCAGCAGCAGCAGTAGCGGCTTACCAGCAGCGTGGCAGAGGCGATCGTCGTCGTCGTCGTCGTCGTCGTCGTCGCCGTTCCAGGCGGTGGAACGTAGCGGCGGACGTGGCAACGACGGTGCGACGGCGGTGGCGGTGGCGGCGGCGGCGGTGGTGGCGGCGGTGGCAGCAACGGTGGCCGCGACCGCGGCCGCGGCGAGGAGGTGGCAACGCTGCTCCGTCTGTCGGTGTGCAACGGCGCCTCGGCCGCGGCCCCGGCCCCGGCCCCGGCCACGGCCCCGGCCCCGGCCCCGGCCACG